TAAGGATCTCCAGCAGGTATTACAAAGAGAATTACCACATCAAGTCTTTATAAAGCGCATGCATATATAAAGACCATTTTAGCTTATAAAACTTAAACGTTGTTATTTTTTTTAAATGAGCGATCGTTTCACTTGATAAGACCCTTATTCATCGTCTGAAATCATTTAACCCTTTGATGCACAACATGGGTCTAAATAGACCCGACTCAGTTTTCATTTTCTATATCTTTGCAAGAAAATAATTTCATCATTCAGTATTCCAGGGATTCCTCAATTAACTTGTTTTTGATCATCACAAAGCCTTATTTTTATTTTTCCTTTCTTACTTTTTGAATAAAAATAGTTTTTGTATAGCAACCCCTCTAATGCGCAACATGGGTCTAAAAAGACCCGTATTCATTTCCTATGGTATTTCAGTGATGGCTGAGTGTTTTCTTTGCTGAATCTTTAAAATATATGTATTTTATCATTTGTTATTCCAGGTATTCATTAAATATCTTGTTTTTGATTTCCACAAATCATTGGGTTTATGTTTCCTTTCTTACTTTATAAACAAACACAGTTTTTGTATTTCTACATCAATTTTACATACATGGGTCTAAAAAGACCCGTATTCATTTCCTATGGTATTTCAGTGATGGCTGAGTGTTTCTTTGCTGAATCTTTAAAATATATGTTTTTTTATCATTTCTTATTCCAGGTATTCATTAAATATCTTGTTTTTGATTTCCACAACTCATTATGTTTATGTTTCCTTTCTTACTTTATAAACAAACACAGTTTTTGTATTTCTACATCAATTTTACATACATGGGTCTAAAATGACCCATATTCATTTGCTATGTTATTTCACCTGAGTGTTTCTTTGCTGAATCTTTAATTAAAAATATGTTTTTTAATCATTTCTTGCAGGTATTCATTAAATATCTTGTTTTTAATTTCCACAAATCATTTTGTTAGGGTTTTTTTTATTTTTTATTTCTACATCAATTTTACATACATGGGTCAAAAATTATTATTAATCTTATTTTATTTTAACCACAGACTTTTTTTTATATTGTAAAAGATTACAACATAATATCTCAATATTAGGCTATGGTTACTTGACCTTGTGAACCTAGTGAGAAATTACTTGTGAGAAGGAGAAACATGTCCAATACTACACTCTAAAAAATGCTGGGTTGTTTTAACCCAACTTTGGGTCAAATATGGACTAACCCAGCCGTTGGGTTAAATTTTTACATTACATTTTTAACCCAGCATTTAGGGTTTGTCCATATTTGACCCAAAATTGGGTTAAAACAACCCAGCATTTTTTAGAGTGTATTAGCTAGCTAGCTGTTGACATATTCTAGCTAGCTAATGTTAACTATACACTAAAAAAAAAGATTGTTTTTTAAAGCTTATTTACATTTAGTAGGCCTAACAGTTCATAATCATTCATATGCTGAAATGATTCTTATACACTCTAAAAAATGCTGGGTTGTTTTAACCCAACTTTGGGTCAAATATGGACTAACCCAGCCGTTGGGTTAAATTTTTACATTACATTTTTAACCCAACATTTCGGGTTTGTCCATATTTGACCCAAAATTGGGTTAAAACAACCTAGCATTTTTTAGAGTGTACTGAAATCATTCTATGATTGAAATGATGCCCAGCTTTGCTAAAGACAGAAAAGTCAGCAGCTGGTGTTCCCAGAGCACCAGGCCTGTGTGCAAGGAGCACAAACATGTAGTTGTCATTTGTGAGGCATGTAAGCACTAAGATGGCAATTTGAGATGCCGCTGTACCAGTGTGATTTTATTTTTTCTGTTTTCTTTTCTTTTCTTTGATCACATTCACCACAATTCAATACAGTTACACTACATCACAGTTCAATTTCAGTGTTATCAGTTATCTGTGATATGTGAATGCTATGCGAGACAAAGTGGCAAATAAACATTTCAAGTGTTAAATGTGTTGTCTAAATTACTTCTAAGATGATTAATTTAACAAAATGTTGTCTTTATTCTTTTGTTTTATTATGCTTGATAAGTACATTTGATATACCTAGTAATACAAAACCTAGAAAAAAATGAAAAAAAATATTTTTGGTAATTGAAAAAAATATTTTTTAATATTTATAAATCATGAAATTTATAGATAATGGAATATTAAATGCTTAAATAAATGATCTCAAAAGATAAAAAGAAAAGAAAAGTCCAGCCATGCATTAAATAACATAGGAAATGAATACGGGTCTTTTTAGACCCATGTATGTAAAATTGATGTAGAAATACAAAAACTGTGTTTGTTTATAAAGTAAGAAAGGAAACATAAACCCAATGATTTGTGGAAATCAAAAAAAAGATATTTAATGAAAACCTGGAATAACAAATGATAAAATACATATATTTTAAAGATTAGCAAAGAAAACACTCAGCCATCACTGAAATACCATAGGAAATGAATACGGGTCTTTTTAGACCCATGTTGCGCATTAGAAGGGGTATCCATAGCTTGCGCATCAAAGGGTTAAAGCCCTTTGAATAGTTTGCACTGAAACTGTCTTTTTGACCTTGAACCGTTTGGTTCCCATTGAAGTCCATTATATGGAGAAAATCCTGGAATGTTTTCATCAAAAACCTTAATTTCTTTTCGACTGAAGAAAGAATGACATGGATATCTTGGATGACATGGGGGTGAGTAAATTATCAGCAAAAGTTTATTTTTTTTTAAGTGAACTACTCCTTTAAGACTGATATGCCGATAAGCCTTGTGAGAAGGTGATGCTCTATATGACTTGAGCCAATTACATTGCAGGTTGCAGTTCAAGCCTTAAAATGGGCGGGTTTTATACGTCCCCTAATCCCATGTGTAAGAAATACCTGCCTTATAGTCCTGGTTACTTCAAGAACATTCAAGAGCTGTGTACATATCTTTCTTAACCTTGCCTTTAAGTTTTTAGTTTTCATGTTTTTTTTCTTAAGGTGAACATGTTGTGTTTGTACCTTTACGTGCCTGTCCATATCTCAGAACGGGTAGAATTTGAGTATTTTGAGTCTGATAGTTTACCGGCACAGCTGACGTCCCTTTTTAAGTTGAGTTTATTTCTTCCATCACAAGAGTTTGATTCTTACAGGAAATGGCGAAAGGTATGTTATCTGTATTATTATATTAAAAAAAGATTGTGTTGTGTGTTTCTTGGTGTAATAACATTTGGTTTTGCCTAGCCTCAAACTATTTTATTTTAGTATTAATTATACTATTAAAATATTTATTAATATTTTAAATTCGTTTTTATTTTGTATGTGTAGTCATTTATCATTTTTCTATTTGGGTTTTAATTAGTGTTATTTCAGTTTAGTTATCAGTAATTTTATTACTGTAATTTAACTTTTATAACTGTTATTTCAATAAATTTTAACTAATGGAAACTTATTTGTTTCAGTTACTTGCCAAGCTAACATTTCTAAAAAAAAAAAAAATAAATAAAAAAAAATAAGTTACTTTCAAATTACCAAAATCTAGTTAGTAATGGTGTTAGTTACCAAAACCGTAACCTATGGGTTTGGTGTTTTATAGAAATTGAGGAAAATTAGTTTCAATGTCAAAAAAGTCCTTATGAGCCCAAGACCTGTGTGTGTTCTTGTGCATTCATGTAAAGACTTGAAATGGGATCATGAATCAGTTTAATCCAGATTATTTGACTTCCGTGTTTGAACTGCATTTAGAATCCCTTCATGTGTCTTTTAAAGAGATTGAGCTTACTTTATGTTTATGCCTAAATTGCTTGGACATCAAAAGTCCTTTTATTTGCACAAAATGTCAGTAATCAATATTGTAAACTTAAAGGAGCTTTAATATTTATGTTATATAATTGAATTGTCAGATTGCAAGCATTTCTTTCTGTTTCCCTTCTGGTTCTTCAGATTCAAGATTAGAGAATTGATGGTTGTTGTCACAGACCATCTGAACTTCAGAAGGCTATAACCACCAAATCTTGTTCCATTCATGAGCCACTTGTCTGCAGTTGAGTCATTGCAGCTCTCGGATTGAGTGTGTGAAGACGATGGCTATCTTTAAGCTACTTTACACTGACAGGGCTATTTGAGACTTGGCTGGAGGCCTGTGATCTTGACGGTCTGAAATGAAGCACATTAGACTGTCAGCCACGACATATTCTGAATGGCTTCTTGATTACATGTATTTAATCAGCAATTTCTCTTGAATGATGATTAATTCATGGATTATTATAATTGTTGTTGTTATCATGTTTGCTTACTATATATAATTAACAGTATGGCCTCCTGTGGTATAGTTTTAATGAGCACAATATATTCATGGAAAAAAGGACTATTTATGGACTGAATGTGCTTGTATGGCTATGAGTTCTTGTAGTCTATGTACAGTAGAGGGGGAATTTTCGTTTATTCATGCACTTTTTTAGCTAAGGAATCATTGTGCACTTGTCTCTAATCTCATAATAGAAAGTAACATAAATGATCTGACTCCGTGTTCTAGTTTTCAGTGGCTCATTCTGAAGTGCTGATGTCACCGGGTGGGGTGATCATTTGTCTGCTTGTGGTTGAAAAAGTGTAGTAGTAGACAGACCTATGAATTTGTCACCAACTCACCACATAACACACACTGTCTGAGCAACATCAGCCTTTAAAACTGGAAACACTTTCTCTTTTGTTTCTGTCCTTCCAGAACACTTCATGTCAATGATTAATTCTTCTTTTCCATCTCCTTCCATTACCTCCAATTATATGCTGCTCAATGGTTCAGACAGCTTGTGTCCTAAAGGTCAAACGTTGTCATGGCCCTCATAAAGCTGATGCTCATGAGATTGTTAAACATGGTGGTCCATTCAATGCTATCTTCAACAAACATAGGCCATATGTCTGTCCCTAGTGTCTCATTAGCTCAACACCCCGAACAACACTGGCTCACTGTCCTCAAATAAATTGTTCTCTCGTGAGGTTTTGATGTTGATTTCTGCATATGTGTTTCAGAAAATCGTCAAGGCTGGAGACAAAGACTTGGATGGCCAGTTGGACTTTGAGGAGTTTGTGCACTACCTGAGGGACCATGAGAAGAAACTGAGGCTGGTTTTCAAGAGTCTTGACAGAAAGAACGATGGTAAGTTTTTATGCCATGAATTATAGATCTTTTTGAAGGTAAACAAACCAATGTACAGAAAGACTGCATGTATCATGCAGCATCAGTACTTTTACATACAAGATTGTGTAACAGTGTTCTCATGTGCATTGTGTCACAGTGTTCTCATGAAAATTCTGGCATCATTTACTCACCCTCAAGTTGGTGCAAACCTGAATGAGTTTCTTTCTTCTACTGAACACAAAGAAAAGATATTTTGAAGAACTTTGGCACCATTGACTTCCATAGAATTTTTTTTTTCTACTATGGAAGTCAATGGTGCCAAACAACCGTTTGGTTCCAATCGTTCTTCAAAATATCTTCCTTTGTGTTCAGCAGAAGAAAGATTTTATAATTGATGAGTTATCAATACAATATACTGTATAACAGTACAATATATAGGATATGATATTACCCCTAAATTCAGCATATTGACAAAATGATAAGTGCAAATCTACGTTTCGCTTCCTGGAGTCCAGTTGTTTCTGTGAATTGCAGCTATCCATTTGCTTCTCTTTTCTGTAGCTTTCACAGATATATACTTCTAAATAAACTTCAGATTTCATGTCAAATCTATTTTTACAGTCAATCTCAAAGCTATTTGCAGGTTTAGATGTGTTTTGTGTGTGTGTTTTTTTTTTTTGTGTGGGACTCACGCTGAAAACCAATCCTGCCACTGTTTTTTTGCCACTCAGTGGGCGTAACAGCAGTCTCTCTGGCCGACGGTGACATCATGTGAATTACTGGATAAGGATTTTAGATAAAATTACAATTACATTTTCTACCCAAAAAAAAAAAAAAAAACATTTTTAAAATTAGGCTACCTCATGCATCCAGTTAATTTCAAAACAGTGGAATAGTTGTTGAGAGGGTGAATTTAAATAGTATCTTCATTTTTAGTAGTTTTGGCCCCTTAAGTCATCTTAAGACCCCCTTGGAAGTTTGCTGAGGTATTCTAGTGGTCTCCTTTTTGAGAGCCACAATTTTAGATGTTAAAGAAAGACCCCCTGTGGGTTTTTAATGTTGTTTATATATCTGTGTTTTTAATATGCTTTAAGACAAACCATGTGCAAATTCAACACCATTGCTGAGTATTTTCTGCTTAAAAATTCACTGAATCAAACACAGTCTCAAAAATGTGGTTTAAAATCTCTATTTTTTCTTGCGTCACAAACTACCTTGTAATCATTCACGTCAACATGCGAGCGGGCTTTAGCATAACATTAACTGCTGTGAACCAGGGCTCTCTCAAGATAAGCCAGCAGGTTATCCTGCGGTATTTTTCTGTTGAGGTAATAAATCAGGTAATTTTAGCAATTTTACATTTAGCAATATAGTGGGTGAATTATGTGATGTATGTTACAATGTTATGATGATCTACAGTATGCTTTTTTTCCACTGACGTTCCATGATGTTCAAAGCGTTTCTAAGGCAACTGATATTTTTAGATGGCAGCTTGAGTAACAGCTTGGTTTGTGTAACATTTAACAACGCTATTAGCTGTTTGATAACGTTGTCAATCAAAAGGCTAATCATATTAATTACCTTTATGTGTTTGATGATGTTATAAAGAATTATTCCATTATGGAGTATTTACCTCAGTAAGTTGACCGAGTGAATGTCATAAGCTGGTGTGAGTGAGTGAAGGCGGGAATAAATAATTAGCATGTTTATGGATCCGAGTATACTAAATGAAGCAAGGGTGATCCTTTCAAGCTATTTTAAGGCATGAAAGTTTGGTTTTTACAAAAACTGTTTCGAGTTTTTAAAGTTACATGATATTTTTTATTGTACAATGACCTCTTATATGTCGAAATATCAAAAATGTGATTTCTCAATTCATGACTCCATTAAAATGGACAATTCTTTCACCACATATTCTTTTAAATCTGCAGGTCGCATAGACTCACAGGAGATCATGCAGTCACTAAGAGACCTTGGGGTTCATATATCTGAGGAACAGGCCGAAAAGATCCTCAAGAGGTAACTGGTTTTTATCTTCCCATCTCCCTCTTTCTCTTAAGTCGTTAATACCTAGCTAATGATTCAGGCCTAACTGATCCACATAGTGTTGAGGTGACTGAGAAACCTAAACCAGCACAGTTTATACAGTTCTCATTTTTCAGCATGTTTCTTTTGACATTTTTTTGACCAGTCAATTCCAAAAAGTTTTAAATTAAACGAAGCACTTACTATAATAAAAGTTATTTTTTTATTTACTGTCTGTGTGACTGTGTACGTGTCTTTGGTCGTACGCTGTTTCTTTATCACTCTCTCCTTCTTGTGATCCCACACCCACTCTCTCTCTGCTCATCTTATCAGAATAAGGAGGGGTAATATATGTGCCCCTATAATGTAGTAAGTAGTTGTCTTTTCCCTGCATGTTTGCCTTGCTCTGCATTTGCATTTCATCTACTTTCCTCTCTGTTATTTCATGTTGCATATTTGATATTCTCTTTCTCTCTCAGAAGCTGTTTTTTTCCATATGGGTGATGCATTTGAAATATTGAATAAGCCAATGATTTATATTGTTAAGGGTTTTTGAAAGTCGATAATACAACTTTCAGCAACAGAAAACGTTCTTAACATTATTAAAGGAATTCAAAATATAAAGGGACGTTTGTGCATGGAAATAATTTTATTTTCTAGTCGCTTGACCTATATGCTTAATTTTGGTAGAAGCAATGCAGGTCTAAGTAGTTTCTCATCTAAGTGCAGGCCTTATTTAAAATATGAACGGCTGATACCAAGAGCCAAAAAAGTGCATTTGCAAGAAATTGACATTTTATTTAGTTTTGCTCTCTTTGTTTTTCTTTATTTGAATAGTATGGATAAAAACGGTACGATGACGATTGACTGGAATGAGTGGAGAGATTACCACCTGCTTCACCCTGCTGAGAACATTCCTGAAATCATCCTCTACTGGAAACACTCCACGGTAAAACACAACCACACCGTCCTGCCATGTAGTTCAAAGTTCCCAGCTTTGCTTTCAGCTTGCTCCTTTTACAAGATTTCAGTACTTTTTATAGTCTCTTTGTTGTGTAAATTGCCCTTACTTGCATCACTGACATACTGTACACCGGACATCTCATTAATACTGGAGATGTTCCAACACCTTAGTAATTCGATCCTATTAAGCCTGCTTAGTTAAATTTGTTTCCTTGCACCTGAAATACTCCATGAATGGGACAATAGGACGTCCCGTCAACAGGAAAACAGATCACAGGTTTTTTTTTTTACTTTACTGACATGAACTTTTTGACACAGGAGTGGTAGATGCTTTCCACCTCATGGATTATTCTAGCACCTATACCCAGATGAACACATAAGTCACTTGTGTTACAAAAGAGTAATATCAGTTTGATTTGAAAATGAAAAGCCAATTATTTCTGGATTTCCATTACCGGTATGTTATCATAAATTCAGTATGTTATTTGATAAATAAAATTAATAAAATATAGCCCCCTAAAACTACTAAAATAAAAATTGATAAATGCATATTACAAAAAAGATACATTTAAAAATGTGATAAGTGCTTAAAAAGAGTAAAGCCAGGTGCACACTGTGCGATTTATAATGGTCATTTACGATAGTTGCATGTCAGACTGTATGATCATGATCCTCACTGTAAGCCATGCCACATTATAAGATCTCAATTGTCAAGTCAAGACACATTAAAAACACATTTTTGTCATGGCTTGTCTTGAAAATCAAAGACAATTTGACGGTCGTCGTAGAAGTCACACTGCAGGACTGTGAGTCAACTATTCTGACTTTGCCAGATTTTCGACGGATGCAAAATATGATCACAACAGTCATTAATCGGCTGTCAGTGAACATGTCAAACTAACTTTCAAAGACTTTAGATTTTAGCCTAGGATCAGAGGAATCTTGTAGGATTTGCAAAGTTGGTCTCAGACGGCCAAATCGTCCAAAATCATACAGTGTGAACCTGGCTTTTCATATACGTATATAAAAATATATCTCGTACTAATGATAAATCACTGATTGTTGTTCATTATGTTCGCACTGTACATGATGTCATTTCCTCTGCACAGATATTTGATGTAGGGGAAAGTATGATAGTCCCTGATGAGTTTACAGCAGAGGAGAAGAAAATGGGCATGTTGTGGCGACACCTGGTAGCAGGAGCTGGAGCAGGTGCTGTGTCCCGTACCTGTACCGCACCGCTAGACCGCCTAAAAGTTCTCATGCAGGTATGAGACATGTATAGAACATTGCACACATCATATGATTACTGAATAATACCAAAATTTATGTATGATGTGATATTATTTCTTTTGGTCACCTCTCATGTACATTCAGTATAGTCTATTATGGTTACCAAGGGTTTATATATATATATATGATCAAAAATACAGTGAAAGCATTATTGTGAAACATTATTACAATCTAAGATAACTGTTTTCTCTTTTGAATACTGTAATTTATTCCTGTAATGTCAAAGCTGAAATTTCAGTGGCTTTACTCCAGTCTTCAGTGTCACATGATCCTTCAGAAATCAGTCTAATATGCTGATTTAGTGCTCAAGAAACTCATTATTATACATGCTGAGCTGAAGTGCTGCTTAATTTTTGTGGAGACATACATTTTCAGGTTTCTGATAAATAGAAAGTGCAAAAGAAGAGCAATATTGGAAATAGATAATGTGAGTGTGAGTGGGTGATCCCATGTAATGTGAGTGTACTGTAAAGCCACTAAAGTACATGATGTTAGTTCTTTGAATGGGTGCTTCGGTGGATGACCATGCACATTAAAAAATGCCTAGTTTCAGTTTGATTTGTTGGATTTTAAAGTTGTTCTTCTTTAAAGGAGCCGTATGTAAGATTGTGGCCAAAACTGGTACTGCAATCACTTTCAAATTACTGTACAGCGGTGTATGCTGTAGAGCGGTTGTCTGGTGTAAATGTACCTTAAAGTGAAACAATTCATGAGCAAACTGCGATGTTTCACAACTGGAATGGTGTTGGCAGGTTCACTCGACCCGCAGCAATTCCATGGGTATCGCCGGAGGATTCGCCCAAATGATCCGTGAGGGTGGAATCCGGTCACTGTGGCGAGGGAACGGTATCAACGTTTTGAAGATTGCACCTGAGTCTGCTATCAAATTCATGGCATATGAGCAGGTAGCTTGTTGTTCAAACATGTAATATGTTTACACAAAAACATATTTTAGCATAGCTATTTGAAACGTGCAAAATCCTGGATATTTAAAGAATATTAATGTAGATAACCACAATTTTTGTAAACAAATGGTTGCATCTCTTTTGTTGATTTGTTTACATTGACAACTCTGTGCACACCAAGGATAATATTAACTATAACTATAAAGATATAGTTCTAAACATATAGTTCTCCATCCTTCTTTGAAGACCTCAAGCATTTAAAGCTGCAGACGACAAAAGTAAAATAAACAGAACCATATTTTTCGCTGGTGTGGACGTTAATATAGTAATAGTTATCTTTATAGTTATCCATCTTGGTGTCTTTAGCCAGAAAAAAAAAACTGAATAACACTTTGTATGTTGCTCCCAGCAATTATAGCTGTGATTTCTAAAGCTCTTTTGGCCTGTTCTTCAGATTAAGCGGCTGATTGGCAGTAATCAGGAGACTTTGGGGATCCTGGAGAGGCTGGTTGCTGGGTCTCTAGCAGGAGCAATTGCCCAGAGCAGCATCTACCCCATGGAAGTAAGATAAACAATAATTTAAGAAAAAAATGTAAGCACTGCTTTGAGAAAGATAAATACTGTAAGCTTTCTGTTTTGTCATTTAGATAATAATTGAATGTGAATCATATTCTTTCACTAGACCTCCTATGCATTATTTCTATCATGTTTTAAGAAATAACTGCCATCTCAGAGTCTGAAACTAAATCAAGTTCAGGTGATGTCGTTCTACACCAAACAAAGTATTGCTTTTTTTTCTGATCTCTTGGAGTTTTAACAAAACACTTTTGTGTGTTTTTAAAGGTTTTAAAGACTCGTCTTGCCCTGGGAAGGACGGGTCAGTACTCTGGTATCGCGGGCTGTGCTAAATATATATTTAGGAAGGAGGGTCTCGCAGCCTTCTACAAGGGTTATGTTCCCAATATGCTGGGTATCATTCCTTATGCTGGAATAGACCTGGCTGTTTATGAGGTAAGGTTTTACACAGAAAAAAAAGGATCCATTCATTGAAATAAAAGCATAGAAATATAATGCTTAAACAGAACAATGTATGGCTTATATATATGATTAATACATTTGAAAAGGCACAAAAAAGCACTCAAATTAAATATGAAAATATAAAAATAAAAGCTTATTCAAAATATTAACAAATAATAGAATTGCATATAAATAATATTAAAATAACACTGGGCTACATTTTATTATTTTTTAAATGTGTGTAAGTGTGTCATGTGTTTTATGTTTTATTTAATAAAAATTATGTGTTATGTAATTATTTTATTATTAATTTGGATTGTAAATATTATTATTTAATTTTTTAATCTGTAGACTGACTCTAAAGGACTTGTGGTTGCAAATAAATAATGCTAAAACAACTTTATTTGACCGTTTATATATATTTTATATTTAATGTTTTATATTTATTAAAATGTATGTTACATAATAACATAATAATTATTTTATGATTTAATTTATATTGTAAATATTATTCTATTTTTTTATCTGTAGACACTAAAGAACTCGTGGCTGCAGAGGTTTGCTACGGACAGTGCCAATCCGGGTGTGTTTGTGCTGCTAGCCTGTGGTACAATGTCTAGCACTTGTGGACAGTTAGCGAGCTACCCATTAGCCTTAGTAAGGACACGTATGCAGGGCCAAGGTAAGTCTTTAAACTCTCAAATACTACTATTATCATTCACTTAGTAAACTATTATTGTTTCTCTGTCACAGTCTAATGGATTTATTTTCACTTGCTTTTTGTTCTCGTTCTCCATCGGTTAGCGGCTTCTCAGGAAGGCAGCCCTCAGATGACCATGACTGGTCTCTTCAGACACATTGTACGGACAGAGGGTGCAATTGGACTCTATAGAGGCTTGGCGCCCAACTTTATGAAGGTCATCCCTGCTGTGAGCATCAGCTATGTGGTTTATGAGAACCTAAAGATCACCCTTGGCGTCCAATCCCGGTGAGGGGAAACCAAAGAGTGTTAAATCCTTAATGGCTTTTGTTTTTCCTCTCAAACTTTCTTTTGGACCAGTGAAAGAGATCGTCCAAGAGGGCCGGATTGCACTCAAAGGGAAGTGTAGCAACACTTGGCCAAGAAAGAGCTTGCTTGATGGGAAGAAGAAACCTTTGCGTCAAAGACCTAACGTTTGAATTTGATCTGTGAATGTAAGAGCAACTGGAATATACAGTATTAGAACAGGACAAAAAAATGCAATCCTAGCTGCAAGTAAAATGTGAGCACCTCAAAATGGCATCTATATTGGATCCCAACACTCCCTTATTTCAATCCTGAGTTTATGTGAGGTAACCAGGTTGTGGTAGTTATATTTTAGCAGGGACAAGAATTTGCAAGATATGCTTTTTGGAAAGGAAGGGCCCGACACCTGATGGATTCAAAGAGCCAGATTTACTAAAGCATTTAGTATATGCAACTTTTCTCTAAGAAAATAACACTTTATCCATTAATTTATTCATTTAAACTGCACAACTGGAAATGAATGTGCTAAAGGCTTTGGCAGATACTGACGCAGCCCTTTCGGATCACTGACTCATTCTTCCACTGGATGGCAGTGTTGTGTAATAAAGGGCTGGCAGGGCAAGGCTCCCACTTTTCCAGATGCACCTCATTGATCCAGATCTAAGGGGTGGGGAGATTGTTAGGGATCAGGGGGCAGAGATGGGCAGGTTTAGGTATATGTAAGGTGGGATTTTCAGTCACAATTTCTTATAAGATCAGATCACCCACATGCTTGCATTTCGCTCACATCATTTATTACTTGTATTATTGTTAACTGACATGCCAGTTATGACATCTTAAATGTTACGTAAGTGTAACAAGAGAATTATTCTTATTCATCAAATGGTCCAAATAATATTGTTGAGGGCTTCTCATTGTGTGTTTTTTTTTTTTAAATGTTTACAATATTCATTGAAAGTTACTATAAAAAAGGATTCCATGAAGTCAAGAATACTAGACATGTGCACACACTCCTAATGGCGATTGGCAGCTAATCAAGCGTTAAGAAAAAAGTTTCAACACTGGGTCAGTTTGAGAATAAAATGACCTGGGTTTGAGAATTCAGCACCAGCTTAAATGTGTTGGGTTGAGTTCTATGTCTTGGTAAACACTGTATGGTCTAAAGTTGGAGAAAGCAATGCTACTATTTGATTTGTTTTTACATTAAAACAATCCTGGGTAATTAACTGATAAATGATTTGCTCAACTGAAGTGTAAATATAACTTCTCACCAGTATTAGTTTGTTAACATTTCAAACAGGACTACAACACTCTAGTCAAGGAACATATTTAAGCACTTTATTTTAATAAAAAATAAAATGGACTTGAATTTTTAGGAGGATTTATAATGGAATGATATTCAGTAGTTGTAGTGATTTAAGTAAATATATCATTTCCAGCATTTATGTTTAATGTTTGAATCAGGTGGGGTGGGGTTAAGTTTTTGTAAAGAAAACACTAGCATTAAAAGAGGTTTAAGTTAGGATTTGTTTTGTAAAATGTAGTTGCTAATGACTACTCTGCAGCCAGTTGGCGAATATCTTGTATATTTGAATATAACATTTGTCAGGATAGGATTTCAAATTTGCATATTTTTTTTATTTAAAAAAAAAAAGTTGCATTTAAAGTTGCACTTAAAGCTATTGCATATGAAGCCCCAAATCCCTCCAGTTCAATGGGTTTTTGCCCTTTGTTGTTCTATAAAACTTTAGTATATAGTTGCCTTCATTATAAATAAATAAGCTGCTTTTAGACTCTCGGGGGTAACGTAGGATGATGATGTTAATGACTGAAATATTTTTGTAGTGATTTGATTCTCAGGGAGGATTTAGTGGTCTCCAATGCTCCTGTGCAGATGTGCCTCCTGAGTCTCGTCTCCACTGGGCTCTGGAACTGATATCTGCATATAAACATGTATAACTTGTATGACTGAGTTTGTGCAGGCCTAACATTTAGCCTTTTTCAAGCTTCAATACATGACTTTGATCGGTGAAAAAAAAGCAAATACCCGATGGTAGTTGAACTGAACTCGGCTGTGGCCCAATTCCCTTTGAATCAATTCAATCTTTGTAATGCATGCATGTATCTGTGTCTTGTCTGAATATGCACAAATTGCACTGTGGAGTCTTTACAGGCTTTAAAAGCTGTATTTGAGCCTGCTCATAATGAATGCAGCTTTCTGTTTTTTTGTTTGTTTTGCATTTTGCACCTTTTACAGGAGAAGTCTTTGGACTGCTCCTGAACTAGTGGGCTAGACCCATTTGTGTGGTAGTCCTGAGACTAAAGGCTTTAGATTTATGTTTGTTTTTGGCATTCAACACGATCAAGGAATGTCGCTCTGAGACTCCCTGTAATCTATTGCCTTACCGTTCGGCTGTTTTGGTAGCCGTGTTACGGCTTCTGTGAGTTTGAATGCACAGTGTTTTTGCCATGTATCAAAATGTACTGTTGCTTGGGTCCCCTGAATATCATAAACATACATGTTAATGAAATATCCATATATCTGTACTACAAAACATATCTGAACATATCTAGATGTGATGACACATCTGTGAAGTTTTATTTGATGCTGATATGTGCAAATCAATGCAAGAATGTTTACTGAACAATAAAGGAAAATAAACTGTCCTCTGTAAAATGCATAAACTGAATGTAGAGCGGAAATATTTATGTTTGTACAATAATGGTTAAATAAAGTTGTTTTTGATTCTGTTTATGGAGGTTGGCACATTTTGCTCTTCTATATGAAACTTTATTCTTTGAACGTTTATTTAAAAACTGAATATAAACACAACACGTTTTTTTCTAGACAGTTTTAGTTCATTTTGTTTTTTACAGGGTTAATGTGGTAATATTTGAATGATTAAAAAGAAGAAGACTCAGCAGACAAGCGCAGGACTAATCACATGACAGTGGTTTGCTCTCTGAGGAAGTCATTCATCCGCAGTTCTTGAGTAAATACTGGATGTGTTTCGAAACTTGCTGAGCTGCCTACCTAGACAGCATTTGGGACGGCACATGACTGATTCGAGCTGCGAGTAAAGAGCTAGGCAGCCTGATAGGTTTTAAGGCACAGTCAGCTACTATATGCCTAAAGGGAGTTCCATGACTGGTTTTCTGTTATTTCAACTCCAGCAATAATGTTCACTAGTCACGAGTTGCAGGCAGTGAAAACAGGATCCGAACTCATATACGCGAGTCGACTCGACTGGGCTATTGTCAAATTGTTGTGTTGATGTTAGTCTTATAGAGAAATGTTGACATTCGAGGAAGCTAAAGCGAGGTTAGAAACTGCAGGGCAGAGTCATGTTTTACAGTTTTGGGCTGAGCTTTGTGCGGAAGAAAGGGATACAATTCTGGAGGAGATATCTCAGCTTCAGCCCGAAGAGTTACTCGAGCATTGCCGAGCAGCTACAGCGGCTGCAAGCCGACACTCGAGTGCTGATGATCGGCTAGACGAGCGGATGGAGCCCGTTCCTCTAGAGTTCATTGGAAGTGTGCGTAAAAGTGACAAAGAAACACTTCAGATGTGGAGTGATGAAGGTAGCCTACAAGAGCTCGTTTGGACTCTAACGTTCAAAATAATTTACGATACTGTTGCAATGTGTTCAAAAGTAGCATGGCATTAATGCACACTTAAAATATTTTTTTTCTTCAGGGTTATTACAGATTTCACGGGGCAGAGTGGCTGTTTTGCTGTTAGCTGGTGGTCAGGGGACTCGACTTGGAGTGTCATATCCTAAGGGCATGTACAATGTTGGACTTCCAAGTGGCAAAACCCTGTACCAGCTCCAGGCTGAGCGTATCCGGAAGGTGCAAGAGCTGGCCAAAGTGAAGCATGGTTGTAAATGCACAGTACCATGGTATGGATCTTTTAGTTGCAGTTCACATGTGTGTGTTTTGCAATTTTAAACACTTTTAGCCCTGTGGATGTTGGGTCATTTTTGTGGACCAGGCTGTAATTTCCTCCACATTATGTGTGGAAATTATGTGTTTTTACGGAAAGCAACAACTGAATGTAAATGTGTACCTTGAAATGCAATGTAATTCGCTTTGGATAAAAGCGTATGCCAAATGCATAGATGCAAATGTAACATACTTTAATGGTGGACATTATTAATAAATAATAATAATTATATGTTGGGTTTTCATATTTGAAAGTCAAAAGAAAGATCTGTTATCCCTGGGACAGTGCTTGTAGTTGAAGAAACTCTAATGCATTTATCCATAAACAACCTCCAAATAACATGTATTAAATTGTTTTAAATGATGTGTTTTAAAATTATGTGTGTTTAGGTACATAATGACCAGTGAATTTACCCTGGGACCCACAGAGAACTTCTTTAAAGACAATGAATATTTCGGTCTATGTCCATCTAATGTGGTCATGTTTGAGCAAAGGATGATACCAGCAGTTGGCTTTGATGGAAAGATCATCCTGGAGAAGAAAAACAAAATAGCCATGGCACCAGGTCAGAGAAAAATTGTTTGGCTTCAGAAGGAATACTAATTTTGTATGTTATTAATTAGTTGTTTTTTTTTAATTAGTAATGGGTAGTTCAGGAATGATTAAAGTAAAATGCATTTAAATAAAATTATAATTTTCTTGTCCACTTCAGATGGAAACGGCGGCCTCTATCGTGCCCTAGTGGACAACAAGATTTTAGAGGACATGGAAAGAAGGGGTGTGGAGTATCTTCACGTGTACTGTGTAGACAACATCTTGGTGAAGCTGGCAGACCCAGTCTTTATTGGCTTTTGTGTAAAGAAAGGAGCAGACTGTGGTGCCAAGGTAAAAATATACTGCTTGTAGGCCTGAATTAGATACCATCCTTTTTATGTTTTTGCATCCAGTTAGCTATGTTTACCATTTTTTCTGGTCAGGTGGTAGATAAGGCTATCCTGCAGAGCCTGTTGGAGTGGTATGTCGTGTGGATGGTCTGTATCAGGTGATTGAGTACAGTGAGATCCAACCAGAGACCTCAGAGCTGCGAGGCCCAGGAGGAGAGCTTCTGTTCAGTGCTGGGAACATCTGCAACCACTTTTTTACACGAGGTTTCTTAAAGGAAGTGGCTGAGTATGTCATCGACAATATGTGTAAAGTGTTTTTCATGTGTAAACTCAACCATGGTCCATAAATGTATTTTTTTTGCTATAATATAATACATTTTAATGTTTTGTTATACTGTATTATAATAACAAGAAGTAGGATGCGCAATATCAAGAAGACTAGAACTTTTATCGACTTTTGTCAATGTACAGGTACAAGATTAGTTATACCTGTACAGGGACACTTAGTATATCCTAATACATATAGTTATAGTTAATTTTGAGGTTAATCCCAAAAAGCACATACTCTCAGATTAAGAGCATTTTAATAAAGAATTAGCAACGTATTATCTCGGATTAATCTGCAAACAAAGCCCTTTGTACAAAATAATCCCTATTACAATGCTTTTTCCTTGCAGAAAGTTTGAGTGTCAGCTGAAGCAGCATGTGGCAATCAAAAAAGTGCCATTTGTGGATGGAGAGGGAAACCTGGTGAAACCAACCAAACCCAATGGCATCAAAATGGAGAAATTTGTCTTTGACGTCTTTAAGTTCTCGAAGTGTGTTTACTGCTAGTGTTAATTTTGGCAAGTTCAGAAATTGACATCTTCCTTATCATAGTCTTTTCTTGCAGGAAATTTGTCGCCTTTGAGGTGTTGAGAGAAGAGGAATTCTCACCCCTGAAAAATGCTGATGGGGCTCCTCTGGATACACCAACTACAGCACGCCGATCCTTGTTAGCGCAACATTACCGCTGGGCTCTGGCAGCTGGTGCAAGCTTCCAGGATGAACAAGATAAACCCATCCCCTCAAAACACAGGTGATAACACAAAATACCCTTCATAAAATAAGAAAATATCAAGTCATTTACTTTTTACCAAAGATTGTTTTGGATGGCTTCTTCAAATTTACTTTAATTATTTTTTGGGTGAACTATCGTTTTTAATGAAAATTTCCTGAAGTATTATAATCCTAGAAATGTTTAAAAAAAAAAAAAATCAAAAAAAAATCAACACCATTCTCGTTATGAATCCAATACCTTCCAACTGGTTTAACCTGAAAGGAATATTCCAAAGGAATTTACCCGACCATGCGGAAAATTAAGGCAGTTCCTAAAATGGACAGGATGTGTGGTTTACAATGGCTGACTTGGTCTACTCTTTCTTTTGCAGTATGGCACAGAATGAAGACCCCCCAGCAATTTGCGAAATCTCTCCACTTGTATCATACTTTGGCGAGGTAAACATGGAAGTACTACTTTTACTTTAAACTGGAGCTGCTAATACTGATAAAACAGTTCAGTTGTTGGATCTCAGGTTAACATGTTTAGCACAAAAGTCATTAAATTACAAAATGTTAGAGTTAGTACAAAAAGAGGCAAGATTAGCCCTGAGGCACAGAGTGAAAAAAGGATAACAGGCCAGTGTGAACATATGGAGCATGATGTGAAACAGAGCGAATGATGTCAGAGTAGTGTTCCTGTTCTCATGAGAGCTAAAGAGACAGCTGTTACACTCCATCACTTTCTCTCCTTTTTTCATTAATTTCTTGCCCTCAGTAAATCTCTATATAGCATGGATACATTTTATCTGCTGCATGTGTTTTACAGGGTCTGGAACATTTCCTGGAACAGAAGAACTTGAATTCCCCTTTTCTACTTGATGAGAATGAAGCCAAGAACCTTGTGTAATAGTGTTTCCAAATTCTAACTTAGGATCCTATCACGTTTAGGGAAATTTTGTAAGGAAATTAAAGGGATGTTTACAAGTAGTAATACTATTAATGAAATGTCTGTCTTTATTTAATTAAAAATACAGTAAAAAAATGTAAAAACAGTAATTTTGTGAAATACTTCTTTTTCTCTCTCTCTCCAGTGTCAGTCTTCAGTCACCTGATTTTACAGAAATCACTCTAATATGCTGATTTCAATTTCAAAAGCAGTGGTTCTGGATTTTTTTTTTTTTTTTTTTTTTTTTGAGACCATGATACCTTTTTCCAGGATAGTTTGATTAATATATTTTAAAAGTACATTACTGAAATTCTGTAAAAGTTTAAAGTAGAATTTACTCATTATAATAAGATAAAATGTTAAAATACAGTGTAATATTTTTCTTAGTTTGTAATGCCTTTCGTTTGATACGACTTTACAATAGCAATAAAATCACACTAATCCAACTTGCAGTCAAGAGGATGTGTTTTCTTTTCCCTCGGCTTTGCCTTTGCATCCCAGTTTCGAGCCGAGACGTCACATGACCACAGCTGACCAATAGGAAACGTAACATCCACCCGATTCACGTCTAAGCAGCGGAACGGAACAATCAACAAGCTTATTAGAGCGAAAGAAACGCCGTATCTAAATGAAGTACCGCGCTACTGTTGCATTACAGAGCTATAGCCAGATGCGTTTAGATGTTCAGCATACAGACTCCATGCTAGGGTGAAATAATCTGGTTCAAATGGTTCTTGTTCTGGAATTTAGCGTAGGACGCGTAGGAGCTCACTTGACAGCTGGAATGTAACTGGGTTTCTTATGAGCTGGCTAACACAGCTAGCTGCCTATAGAGGTCTGTGAGTCTGAGGATAAGATGCATTTCATTACGAGCACACAGCAGATGCATGCTTAGGTGTATATAGAAGTATGCTAGGATGTTCAAAAATGTGTTCGGATCCGGATTCCTGGTGAGGACCGCTCATGTCATATTGACATGGGTTATAACGTTGATTCTTTTCCTCCACGACACCGGTAAGTGCTCTTAACAGATGCTGATTGTACTCTGAGTATGTTCGTCTTATGTCTACATCAGCTGTGTAATGTACATAATGCTACTGCACACCGGTATCTGCATCACTGAGTGTTCAAGGATCCACGTTTACATGATCCCTAACTCTAGCACTCTCTGTTACATTATATTTATTGATATGACAAAAAGTCAAAATGATCAATTTATTGTGATATAAAAGTCTAAAACGATGAGACTCATGATGACGTAAAAGTCTCAAACTTATGAGATACTCATGAATGATGTGATTAGGCCTAAGGTGTTGGAACTAAGCTAGTAATTATGATGTTGGTCAAAATTGTGAGATACTAAATTGTATGTAATAAAAAGTTTAAATTTTGACACACTAAGTCATAATTATAAGATTATAAAATTATTAATAATACGATTATTATAAGTCACACTTATAACATAAACACATAATTACTACATAAAAATTAGACTTTACTCTTTTTTTAGCTCATAATTTAAAATTTTTATCTCATGAATTACTTATGGCTGGAATACATTATTATACAACTTTTGCTATTTGCTGAAAGTAAAAGCTAGCCTGAAGGTTATGGGAAGTCAGTGTTAACAAATTTCGCTGAAAATCACGTATGGGCATAGACTTAACTTTTTAGCTTCAGACTATGATCCATCCAGTCAGGGGATATCAAGTATGTTCCATATTTTAAAGGGATAGTTCACTTTGAAATTAAATTGATATGTTGTTTTAGCTTACCTCAAGGGCATCCAAGATGTAGGTGTCTTTGTTTCCACAGCATTTTCAATTTTGACATTTTTTTTGGTCAAACCGTTGTTGTCTGTCAGTCATACACTGGAGGTTAAGGGGGTCCTCCCTCGGTTCACCTCAAAGAGCATGCACAGAGAAGTCAAAATTAAACATGATTTAATGACTCGTGAATGTAAGTACACATTGATAGCCTAAGACGCGAACCGAGCGGTTTGTGTGAGAAAATGAACAGCATTTATATAGTTTTTACCTCTTGTTAACAGCCGTCGGACTGATCTGAATCAGATGTCCAACTGAACCGAACTGAACCGTCTCGTGCTGTTAGGCCGGAAGTGATCTCTCGCGCGTCTACGTCACGCTTTGTTTACACGGAGATTTCGGGAGTTTTACCTTCCACTAAACATATTGAGATATACGGGAAATCTAAATATGTTTAGTGAAAAGTAAAACTCCCGAAATCTCTGTGTAAACAATGCGTGACGTAGATGCGCAATTACTTCCGGCGTAACGTCTGGAGACGGTTCAGTTCGGTTCAGTTGGACATCTGATTACTGTTACAACAAGTATGTTTTCATTTGTTATGTTTAGAAGCAATAAAGCACATGTCTTTGTATTTGGAATGACTTGAAAGTCTGCAAGTGTGTGATCTCCAGTCGTTTAGATTATGCTGCCCATTTTTCTCTGTAACGTTAACTATTTACAAAGCCGACAAGAGTATGATGCAGTGTTTCAGCCTTTGTTATGTCATAATTTAAACTTTGTGTGCCCATTTTGTGTTGACTTTAAGTGGCGTAAATGGGATTCCACAGTTCTGCACAATTGTTTCTCTATTATGCTCTAATTTCCTTCACTCTGTCCTACTCCACTATGTTGTATTCTACTTCACTACTGTGCTCCTTTCCACCTTTCCTTTTCCATGTTCAGTTTTGCTCTATTCTACTCTTCCACACAGATCTGCGCAAACAGGAGGAGACGGGGGAGCTCACACTGCCGGTTCTCTTTGTGCTGATGGTCCTGGTGTCCGTGTTGCTGTACTTTGCGGTTTCACTTATGGATCCTGGTTTTGTCTTGTCTGATGACTGTGACTTACAGGTCAGTTCATTTAGGGATTCTCACATTTTTTTGTAATCCAAACTCCTGTGACCTGAAATATTTACTTAGGGTATCCCCTGCAATTTTAAGTTAATTTTATAATAATTTAATAATATGTTGGTTAAAGCTACAATATCAAAGTTTAAGTATCTTTATTTGTCTCCCCAAGGAGAAATTAGTTTTGGACCTAGAGAAATTGCTGCAAGGGTTACAACAGAGACACCACAAAAACACAAGATTAAGACAGTTAAAAGACAAAAAGTACATTTAGGTTACTCAAAGGAGCTGTGCAAATTGTGAATTACCCTTTTCTGTAGGTTTCTTGTGCAAGAGTAATTTTATATCATATCCATAGATACATTGAATCACAGATATACAGAGCATTAATGAATTCACGTTCAATAATGTAAGTACACAATTGAAAGAAATATAACACTGTGCAAGTGTTTTTTGGATATTTTGACAAATATTGTACCTTTAATGATCACATAACATTCAGGTAAACAAATAAAATATTTCTTCTTTTTAATATGCGATTTATTAGCTGCCTCTATTCACAAGCTCCCTGCATTTCTGTTTTGAAAAACTCCAGTTTAGGAAACTTTGAGTTAATAGAAATACAGGCCTCAAAGTTTACGAGTCTTACCTCCTCTACACAGTCATCAGATTTTTTCAGGAATAAAAATGCCCCATTTGACTGTATTTCAGTTCACACTTGGTATTGCAGAAGAAACACAGGATATGATTCCACACACTACCAAGTCCATCCGGCTGCGGCGCTGTGGACACTGCCTGGTACAGGTGCGCTGTCACTTATTAAACATGAGATACATAAATAAAGAGCTTTTTATAATATTAATTCAAAGGTTTAAGGACAAGCTGCAACAAAAACGAAATATTATTTACTCTAATTTTTTATTCGTTTTAGTGTCAGAGCCATGAACATTTTATTTAATTACCTTTTTTAAATTTTTTAATTTTATGAAAATATTTTTTAAATTAAGTTTTTGTCATTTTACTTTTGGTTTAAGATAATAACCATATGTGTTCATGCATAGGAAAAACATCTTTATTCATTTATAACAATGAACCCATTGTAAAAATGGATGCACACTTTGCCTTAGCAACCCATGAGATCCAAACACTGCCAGACGTGTCAGCACTGTGTGCGGCGCTATGATCACCACTGCCCCTGGATAGAGAACTGCGTCGGGGAGAGAAACCACCGCTGGTTTGTGCTTTATCTGGCTGTCCAGCTTGTTGTCTTACTGTGGGGACTGTACATGGCCTGGTGAGTAATACTTGAGGCCAATACACCCTGCGCCGACAGACAAAGACCAACAGCAACAGACACTTTTTGGGGGTTTTGTTGGTTCAGTTTGTTTCCCCTGTTGGTGTTCGTTTGGTTGTAAAATGTCTGAGAAGTGGCGTACTGTAATCTGGTGATTGTCTGCGTTGGTCAGTGTCTGTCGGTGCGGTGTGAATTGGCCTTTATATATCATGCATGGGATGTCCAGAACTGCTAATAGAAAATATAGTCCTAAATAATGTATTATTATCCATACCTTTTCAAATCTAAAAGCGGTTCTCAAATCATTTCTTAAAAATTAAAGCATCCAGAAAAGAACATCTTGCAGTTTATTGTTTACAATTGAAGGGATACAAGGACCCCTTTTTCAGTCTTTACTTTGTTTTTGGGGTCCACTAGAATAGGTTTTCTTTCTTAAAGTTTCCAAAAAAAAAAAAAAAAAATGTATCACATGTTTTTTTACAATATTGCAACCCCTCCCTCCAAATCTTTCCCATGCCTCCTTCAGTTCATGTCACTATTAAGCCCCTCCTTCCGAAAAGCTGAATGTGCTCCGATTGGTCAGCTGGACCAGCGTTTTGTGATTAGTCTACCGCTTCAAATGTATGTTAGGAATTGTCACGCTTGCTAACGCAACTCAATCGGGACATGCCAGAAATTATTTAAATGAGGAATAATGTGACGTGTACGTTTCTGGAAGAAAACTCATGACTACACTCAAGGGTTTTCAGCGTGTTCAGTTCTTACGGATATATAGGGAATAACTCCCTTTCGAACTTCACAAACCGTTTTCAACAGTACACACTAAAGAATGTTGAAAATGTAAAAGAAATCCTAATAGGACCCTTTAAATCTTGTACAGGTCCGGCTTCAGTCACGCTTCCACCTGGCAGCTGTGGTTAAGGACCAACGGAGTGCTCTTGGGAGCAGCAGCGGTGGTGGCGGTCCTATCCCTGACCGTACTTCTCCTCCTGGGCTCTCACCTGTACCTGGTGTCCCTAAATACCACTACATGGGAGTTCATGTCTCGACACAGAATCTCTTACCTCAAGCACTGCGGAGTAGACGAAAACCCTTTTGACCGTGGAACCCTGCGCAATCTCTGGGGCTTCTTCTGCGTTTGGGAACCAGTGGTTTGGGAGCATGTGTATTTCAAGCAAGGCAACGATCCCATTTAATTCCCTGGGAGTCATGACTGCTGCCGTGACAAATAACCCATTAAATGGAAGTTGATGTTTTGGTGGAAATCACTCCAAACTGCATCTGCTACTACATCTTATCTACTTCTTCCTTGTGAATGACCCATTCCATTTTGAAAGTGATTCTTTCTTTAATGCATGAACTTGTTATCAAATAGGTTGGATTGAAGACCATTTCTATTAAATAGTTTTGTGAATACTTTGCCCAGGTAATACTTTGACAATTCGTCTGTGCTGATTTGGGACATTTTATTAGCGAACGCAGAACAAAAAGCACAAAATCACAACAGCTGGAGCTGTATTGTGGTTTCCCATTAATGCAATATGAGATTAATTACAATTTTATATGCTTATTTTTATCTCGGCTCTGCTCAAATCATCTCTTTCATGGTACTAACAAGCTGTCGGACAAAAGTAACTTAACTAGACAGTCTGTCAGCTGATTTTATAGCAGCAGCCAATGTTGTATTACATCAGCAACGATTTTTTGAGCAATTATTGAACTTGTGAAATACAGTCAGTTGTATATACACATTTTTACATGGGTTTTTTTGGAGGGGGGGGGGTTGACCCCATTTAAGATCAATTTTTAGAGTAGACAGGGTAATAAGTTTATATTAAATTTCCTATAGCACTTTATCAGTGGTGAAATTACAATATGCTTGTAATGTGATGTTATCATATTAATTGTTATGGTTTATCTTGACAATCTATACATTAAACATGAGAAATTAACATATTAGAAGACAAATTTAGAATGCAAACATAATCAGCGCAGTACTGTTCAACATTTTTCCTGCAAAACATTATTTTTATATAAACAGGGTATTTCTTATTACACTTCAGCTTAAAGAGAGGAATATGTAAGTGAACGTGATACTCCTTTGACTGTTAAATTCTGGGCCAGTAATATGTTTGGTGTAATAATGAATTGTCTTCTTCAACAAACATTAGTTAGAAATGTATCTGCATAATATAGAGGCATAAAAAGCAATAATTGTTTTTTCTTTGACTTGATTTCAGTTTCTTTAAAATATTACTTTTGCATTCGAGTGTTTTTAACTACACATTATGCTGAGATTTCATGAATGATTTGTGCCGTTTTGATCAAATTTATGCAATTTTTGTTCCTCTGTGATATTTTGAAACGTCAATATTCAATAAACTGAACAACATGATCACATTGTATTTTATTTCTGAAAATACATTCATTCCCATTCAATTACATTTACTTACATATTTTATTATCCTTCATGTGGCTCATAGAAATGACAAATTTCATTTAAATATTTTAGTGTCATTTTGTTCACAGTGTAACCTATCAGTAGCAAACCACATTGACAAAGATGCAATGGTGGCCTGATGTAGAAAAGTAAAATTTAGACAAACATGTTAAATAAGGAACAACGTAATCAGCTTCTATAATACGTGATACAGAGAGCAAAACAGTAGGACTGTTTAAATATCAGCTTAGTAGTGAGTGAAAGTGCTAACCGTATCATGCCAAGACATCGAGTAGAATATGCCTAGTCTAATGCAACAGTCCTACATTTGTCCAGAGGAAGACTATAAATAGAAAGGCAGGATAGAGCAAGTCGCCGTTTAAAGCCAAAAAGTCACGAGACGTCTGGAAGTACTGGGTTTGGAAAGTTGAGAACTGGTCCAAAATCAACAAGCAACATTTAATCCTAAATCAAATCCAGATTAGGGACAACCAGAGATCAAAACGTGAGGGTTTAACATGAACATACATCACATAGACTGAGCGTGGAAGAATTTGCATGATCTAACACCGAGCACACAGTCCCATAGTTACAGCCTGGAACTTAAGGAGCTTAAGATGTATCGCTCGGATCAGCGCTACATCAGAAATCTTTCAAAACGGCACAGCGTTCGGAAAAATCATTATCTGTTCAGAAAGAGTGCAAGTATATTTTGGCATCATAGTTCATTGTAACAGGAAGACTTCTCTTTATTTTAACAGCTGACTAAAAATAAGCATCTGCACACGACAAACAGTGTAACATCCCAAAAATAACATTAATATACGTTTATAACTGCATGCATAAATATCAGGGATGGTCGGAGCAGGTCTGAGCTTACTCACAGTGGTAGCTGCAAAGTTTTGGTCGGGGGCGATCACATGGTTTCCTCTTGGTTTTGAAGTCCAGTCTGGACAGTCTTTGGAGGTTAAGCACAAATCTGCAGCCAGCTTCATGGAAAAATCGTACAGCAGCTTTTAAAGGGTGACACGGGGCCAGCTTCACTTGATTCGACTGCATAACTCAAGGGAGAGAATAATTGGATAAACAAGACAGAGAGAAAAGAAAGCAGAGATTTGATATGTCACAACCCCTTCGGAGTGTAATCGAGTGGAAGTCAGTGCAAAGCAGAGAAGTCAAAGTCTGCAAAGAACTCCTGCTGCTCGGCGGTGAGGAAGAATGGAGTCTGCGGAGGTGTCAGGACTGGCTTCAGGCGCGTGAACTCCTCGTCAAAGTTACTGACGTCTGCTGGTGCTTTTATTGACGGCAGGAACGGAGGTTTGGCTCTTTTGGCCAACAGGGCTTCCCAGTCCATGCCCTGTGGAGAGGAACGAGCCTTTTTTTAAAAGAACGTTTCAAAATAAGCTTCTCTAAGGTCGTCGAAACTATTAGTGACTGTCACCTGAAAAAACCTGTGTTTCTTCACTTCATTGGCATCTTGGTCTCCTGCTCCTAGTCGTTTTTCTGGGTTCTTCTGCAACAACTGCAATGAAAAGATACAGAGTCAGAGACTGAATTTCAATTTCAGTTCTTCTATTAAAGGGATGAGCTGTTACCTTTTGGACCAAAGAGACCGACTCAGGGGACAAAAACCTGGGATAGCGCACTTCATCGTTCACTATGCTGTCAAACACTTCCTCCTCATCATCACCGGGAAATGGAGACTGGAATAGAAAGGATACAAGTATACACTCAAAGTTTATGGGCTGCATTTATTTGATCAAAAATCAAAACCGTAATATTGTGAAATATTATCACAATTTAAATAAAATACAAAAAATTCAATGTAATTTGGGGTGGGTGATGCTGTATTGTGAGTCTGAGGACCAGAACTGACCTCTCCCACTAGCATCTCATAGATGAGCACACCCAACCCCCACCAGTCCACTGCGCGGGTGTAAGTGCTGTCTGTCAAAACCTCCGGGGCCAGGAACTCTGGGGTTCCACAAAAGGTTGACGTGCGATCGCCATGTCCCATACCTAATTGGAGGCAAAGCTTTGGTGACTCTCCTCAAATAGTAATTTGAGACAAACAAACAAAAACATTTTCCACAGGACAAATCATATTACGTTTAAATATACCTTCTTTGCAAAGTCCAAAATCTGCAATTCTCACAAAGCCATCAGAATCCATTAACAGATTGTCCAGCTTTAGGTCCCTACAAAAAGGACAGTGCGAAACCATACATGCATTATTATTTCATATATGCATATAATATGGGAATTTAGTAATAGTTGAATAAACTGGATTTCAATTTCAGTTCTATTAAAGGGGTGAGTTGATTCCTTTTGGACCACAGAGACCGACTAATAATAGTCATAGTGTAGTTACCTATAGACAATAATAGTAATAGTGTAGTTACCTATAGACAATCCGGTTTTGGTGCAGAAACTCCAGGCCCAGTAATACACATGCAGAATAAAACCTGCCAGAAAAACCCTCAGTTTACAGTCACAGACAGATGAACACGTCAATGCTAAAAATAACAATGCTAAAAATATTCAGTGTGTGCGTCTGACTCTGAGAACATCACTACGTGAACAAGTGTGGCACTTATGTAAATGCTCTGTAATAAAACACACTGTGTGTGTGTGTGTGTGTGTTTGGGGGGAACCTGGTAACCAAATGTCTCCAAAAAGATATTGATAGCAGTACTAAACATACTAAATTTGCAAGATAGCAGAAGCTAAACATACTAAATTATTTTTTTTATGAAAATGTAAAAATGTTGGGGTGAGATTAGGGTTTGAATATACAGTTGGTGCAGCATAAAAATCATGAAGTGGAAAACCCAGCGTATGTATGTGTGTTTACCTAGCCTGCCTTTCAGAGAAGATGTTATTGTGGATGTGTGTCATCAGGTCTCCTCCAGGTGAATATTCCATCACAAAGCACACATGGTCAGGTGTCTGGAAACACCCATATAGGTTCACCAAGAAAGGATGACGGGACACATTGATGGTCTCAAAAATCCTCTTTTCACACATTAAACTATAAAAAGAATAAAATGAATTCACAATATAATACAAGCCGAACACAGTTAATGTGTCCACTAAAACTGTCAACTAAAATAATGATACCCTTACAAGCATCCCCTTCCTAAAAATATAAGAGGCAGATCTATATTTTCATGTATATAAACCCATTTACTATATACAGTGTAAAAAAAACGTGTTCCCTCAAAGAAGTTTCCAGAATTATTGCCATTGTAATACGGAAATAAATACTAAATGTTTGAAAAATAAATCTCAAAAAACTATAAATTACCATATCCAATTCATGGTGCTATTTGCACAGGACGACATTCCCGACACAGGGATACAGAACCTCACCTGTCCACTTCATCCCGGGTCACAACGTCCCCTTTCTTCAGAGCTTTGATGGCATATAGTTTCCCAGTTCTCTTGAACTCAGCCAGCAGGACCTTCAATGAAAGACAAAAAGATATTGCATCAACACCACCCCCCAGAATCATCTGATTACAGTACAGAAGGACATCTGCAGTTTTACCTTTCCAAAGTGCCCTCTTCCTAAAACAGAAATGCAGCTGAAGTCCTCCATCTGCATCCCCTCTTTCCTCCTGTGAAACGGGATATATAAAACATACAGTGAAAGAGAAAGACACAATGTGAGAGGGCATACATGTTGAAATTTAAGACTTAAGGTTAGGGATCTCCCAAAATATTCCTTAATCCAAGAAGTGAGCAATAATAATAGCATTAATAAATAAAATATTGACTTACTGAGGTGTAGGCTGGGATGCAGGTCTGCCTTTGAGAACTTGTCGATCCTCACAGGGATTCACTCTGGTACAAGTCTGGGAAACGCGTCCCAAATCACAACGATTACAACTTTAACTTGACCAGAGCAATAAATGAAGCTTCAAATTAAAAGCACATCTTTGTCCACAAGACGTACCCCAGAAAGCGATTCGTCAGTTGTAGGGTTCTTTGCCAAGAGGAGGCGCGGGGGCTTGGCAGGACGCTCCTCACTGAAATTCAGTTTAACAACTGCAGACTCTCTGTGATAAACAGCCACAACGCAGAAAGAGAATCACTTTCTACACTGATTAATGGACATATTTTCCTCAAACAAATCTGACTCGACCAAAACCCCAGGGACACCTGAGCAAGTCTCACCCAGAGGAAGGGGGCGTGAATACGGATGGGGGGGACATGGGTTCAGAGCCGGGCAGCGGAGGGCTCAGGGCGGTGATGGTGCTGTTGCAGGGGGGCAGCACGCTCATCATTAGACGCCCCCAAGTGGCAAAGTTCATATTCATTTGCGCTGCCCGCAGGAAATTTTTCCCTGAGAAAAGCATTAAATCAGCTCTCTAATATACAAATAATGACGCATTACTCTGAAACATCAATCTTAATCGCTGAACTTCACAGCACTGCCTCTACATGTCATGTTAATAGCTCCATAATGTCACTCTTTAAAGTTTTGAAAGCATTCAAGTGCTTATGAGAGAGATTATGACAATCCCTTATACAGACCCACTATGAGGACAATACTGGAGAAAATGTGTCAAGCAAGCACACCTTTTTCTTTTGGGAAAATCCGTTTCTGTCGTTGTAGTTTAGGATGCCGCTCAATGACAGGGTTAATGAATCTCACCTGAAACCAAACCGCACAATAAACAGCTGACTATATGCATTAGCTGTACCAGACTTGGCTTCGTTTATTAGCATGATTTGGCACTAGGATGAAGGTATTGCGAGGTTCTCTTACCTCTGTGAACAGTGTGCCCTGTGGCTCTAGATAAAGACACATGCTGTGTCGCTGGTTGTCTAGGAAGTCTTCTAAACGCAGGAACTTTACGGCACACAGGGACCTCCAGTCTCGCCAGTACACTGCAATCTCCAGCTCCCGAGACTACAAGGGGTCAAAGGTCACATGAGACGCAGAAAAAATATAACATACTCACACATACACACACCAGCTGTAGTTGTAGTTTAGTAAAAAGTAAATTTGGGAAATATTACAATTTAAAACAACTTTTCTATTTTAATATGTTTTAAAATGTAATTTATTCCTGTGATGGCAAAGCTGAATTTTTAGCATCATTACTCCAGTATTTAGTGTCACATGATCCTTCAGAAACCATTCTAGTGGCCAGGAAACATTTCTTTTCATTATATTATCAATGCTGAAAATAGTTTGTGCTGCTTACGATTTTTGTGGGAATCGTGATACATTTTTTGGATTTGTTGATAATTAGAAAGTTTCAAAGAACAGAATTCATCTGAGATGGGAATTGTAACAGTATAAATGTCTAATGTCACTTTTGATCAATTCAATAAATACTTGCTGAATAAAATAAATAAAAATAAATAAATAAATAAATTCTCACAGACCCACTGACATGGCAAAATAAAAGTTATGGCAATTACAGTGATTAAAACTGAAACATGCCTTTTAAAGGGATAGTTTACCCCCACAAATGATGTCATTTACTCACCCTGAAGTTGTTTCAAACCTATATAAATCTATTTCTTCTACTGAGCACAAACGAAGATATTTTGAAAAATGTCAGTAACCAAACAGTTGATGGACTCTGGAAGTCAATGAGGCCCATCAACGGTTTGGTTACCCATATTCTTCAAAATATGTCATTTTATGTTCGGCAGAAGAAAGAAATTCATACAGGTTTGGAACAACTTGAGTCTGAGTAAATGATGACATAATTTTCATTCTTGGGTGAACTATCCCTTTAAGTATTGTATGATTTAAAAAAGCAGTTTGAGCTATTTTTCCCCTCAACAGAGATTCATCTAAATGTGAATGATGAGAAGTCAGACACCAAGTAATGTTTTTCTAAAACAATCAAAGAGATGTGAATCACAGCCTTTGAAAGAAAAACTGCAACAGTAATCCAAAAATAATGAAATAAATTCTCATTTTCCACCGGAAACGCTGAATCAGCATGGAGAGAGCTGCAGGCTCACTTGGCCAGTATTCAGGCTGAGTGTTTGTGTCCAAGGGGTGAGCAAAAGATTACAGTAATGTTGCGGGATTAGTTTGGATTACTCTGGAGGCGGTTGATTGCACTCTGGGAGAAAAGCTGCTTTAATGAAGGTGAGGAAAAGATTTCAGCCAATGCCCTGACGGGGACTTTCCATAAACCAGACATGGTAAGTGTTGCCTGGGATGACTGACAGTTATAAACGGCAAGCTGTAAAAGCACTCAGACCATGAGTTTGTGATATCCATTAAGGGTGAGCTCCTTATCTGAATTCAAAACGCTTATTTACTTACTAGATATGTCTATGAAATATGCAGTAGAATTTGTTGGCACTGACCCGCTCGAGTTCAATGCTAAAGCTCTGATTCCAAGCCTCCTTACTCAGCGGCCGCCAATGTGTGCGACCAACTATCTTGTTATCCACCTTCAATACAGCACTGATCTCAGCTGAGAGAAAACACATAAAAAGAAAGAAAACAATTCAAGAAACATCTTACTGGGGGGGGGGGGGTAACTTGAATTCTAATGACTAATAATGTCTGACATTCTAATAATGTCATTAGACAAGGTAGGAAAATACAGATTCCTCCTATTACTCTCAACAGCGAGACAGAGTTTAAATTATATTTGAAATCCATTATATTTCACTCTGCTTCCCGAGAGACTCACATGAGAGCTCGTCCGTCTTGGTGGTCTTGCCGTTGGCGCTGCGGGTGGAGAGACCAGTTCTCATCCTTAGTGATTTGGACTCAGAGGGACTTCCAGGGGCAGAGGACATGTTGCTTACCCGACAACGACCTGGAACTGACTCCAGCAGGTCCTGACAACCCATCAACCTGACTTCCAGTCGCCCTGAAAACACATGCATGCAGGTTTTACACAATAAAGCACACATATGTATACCGACACATAAAAAAAAACTGCACAAAAACAAAGATTAGCATACATTCCACTTCTATTGCCTCTATGCTTGTACAATTATAACAATCAGAAGTGCAAATATGAACAAAGTTTTTATACAAGCTCAATGGCAAATATAATTATGCATAAGTGGGTAATAATAGGTCTGATAAGAGCCATTTCAGACCGAGCAAAGTGGCCAGTACAGTTAAACAAGTCTATTATGCACACCAAGGCTCCATTTATTTTTATTAATAATACAGTAACTGCAATATTGTGAAATGTTATAATTTTGAATGACTGTTTTCTACTAAACAGCTGTCATTAGAGGAATACATTACATCCTAAAACACCATTGATAAATGTAATGTAGACTGAGACTCTCATAACTAAAAAGATGTTTGAGCCCTCTTTATTGTCCTGGTACAAATCAATGCTTTTCTTTGTTCAATGAGCAGTTCATGAGTTGAAGCTCTTAATTTTGATATCTCAAAGAGCACGATATTGATGCATTTAACCTTAAAATGTACAAAATTAAAAAAAAAAAAAAAAAAAAAACCAAGATAGTTTTACAAATTCCTATGGGAAAGAACAACCATTTATGAACTTTACTCCAGCAGTACAACAAAGTTCATTTTAAGTCAGTAAAACCATATTGCCATATGCCATATTAAAATGTCAAAATTTGGCCTGATTAAGAGGGGGCCTACAAGACATTGTGCCCAGGGTCCTCTGAACTCTTAATCCGGCCCAGCTTTATAGGAGTACTTAATGACAGAAGTTATATTTTTAGGAGAACTAACCCTTTAATATGCTCTTGATGGTACAGAAAGTAGTACAACAGGGCCTTCAGTCTCTAAAAGTAAAGACACTTTTCACTAATTTAAATTTACATATTGTGGCATCACAACTACATTTATCTTGACATCTTAACACCATAACCTTCCTGCTAACTTTCAACTGTGTCAATACCTGTCAGGCTGGATGGTTTGAAGAGTGAAGAGGATGCTGAAGAAGAAGAACGAAGGCGATCTCTATGCAACCCAACGACAGGTGAGGACCCCACTGTTAGCTCCTCTTTAATGGCAGCTCGTTTGGGATGATCATGTGGAAGCTCTCCAAGCCGCTGCTCTAGAGACAAGCGCAAAAGGTCCAGTTTCTGAGAGGACTCCTGCAAACGGGCCTGAGCCTGGACACAGAAAGACATGCTCAAAAATACAAAAGAGGCTCAGAGCTGACAGATGTGAGCTACATTTATGAATGACAGTAGAGTGAAACAAGGCCACTGACAGTAACTATATAGAGTTTATATATTATATTTCCTGTATCAGGAACTCTAAAATTGGCTTTTTGAAGGTATGACAAGTGATACAAATTTCTGTAATTGTTATTGTCCCAATAATAAATTCAGGGAATTTCAGGAAGATATATTAAAGGTCCCCTGACATGAAATTTTCCCTTTCTGAGGTTTTTTAACATTAATATTAGTTCCCCTAGCCTCTATTTGGTCCCCTCGTGTCTAGAATTTTCAATCAGTGTAAACCGAGCTTTGGCTATTTTTCTCTTCTCTGCAGCTCAGACGCGCTGATCTTGAATATCCTCGTTATTATGTCATAACGAGGAAAGGTTACCTCCACTTTCTCTGCTTTGCCCGCCCGGAGAATTTGGCTCAACAAAATGGTTTAATTAAAATTATTTAATTATTTTTTGTGCACAAGCTATTCCATTTTACAGTATTTAACCATGGCACGTGCATTTGGATTCTTTATACGCAAGTAATATACATGTTTGCATTCTTTTGGCATGATTTTATTTCTTTGTGAGGCAATACTTTTTTGATAAACAAAGTTGGCCATAGGAGTGTAAAATTAAAACTGTTTCAGACTAGGCTACTGTACTGTATATGTTTGATTTATGTTAAAGTTCTTAGGACATTTCTTTTAATCATGAGACATTTGTTTTTGTAATCAAGCTCTCAGAATACATCAAAATTTGGATTTAGATGTATGTGCGTTATATGAATTATCGGTTATTGTATCGTATTTTCATATCAGGGCATCTTTAGTTATGATGACTGGACAGGGAAGGATTGTAACCTGTTTTAATACAAACTAAGTGATTGTAAATGCGTCTGGTCTTCAAAATGCAAAGTGTAAATCGAAAAAAAAAAAAAAAAAGAGTAGTGAGGCCATTTCAGCAGCAGGTTATCTGAGCAATGTTAGAGCGCAAATTTCTCATTTTATCACTCACAGTAGACTCTGTCTTGTCTGTCTTAGTGACAAATAATGTGCTGGGTGTGCTGCTTCAAGGTTAAACATGCACAGCTGAGCAACACTGCAGGTACACACTCAATTCTCAGGAATTAATCAAAATACTTCCAAAAACCACTTAAAAGTTTATCACTGTTACTAATTCACATGCATAGATGTTAGCCAATTCATCTCTTTATTTAAAGTCCAGCTGTTATACTTTTTTGGATCAACATGTTAAAAACACACGGTTTTCTGCGCTGCGTGCGAAAGCAAATACACATTACATGCATTTCCAAAGGATGAGGATTCAGGCTCAAGTTGATACGATAAAACCTGACGCCATCGTTACCATTCATTATCAACAGCATTATCAACGGTATCATTAAGAAAGAATCGACAACAGTGTTGTTCCCTGACAGTAAGTGCATTCAGAATGAGTCACGTATGCGTGTTGGTTACTGAAAAGCCTGTTCGTCAAGTCCAATATATAAAATTACCTCTGCTAGAGCACGTCGGTCCTGCACTTTGCGTACTCCTAGCTGCTTGACCACGTTTTTGGCACCTTCTGCCACAGCTGCCTCAATCTTCAGATGGTGCCTGAGCTCCTCCACCCGCAAATCAAGCGGACTAATGGTTTCAGAAGGGCGACCTGCACAAAAACACACACACAAACATAAAAAATAGTGAATAATCATTCAGCAAATTGCATTACTGTTTTACAATTTCACTGAAAAAATTAATTTCAAACATTTCACAAAATAATAAATGTTTATTGTTTAATAGATATAATAAATGTGTATTTAATCACAAAAAAACAAGTATTTCTATATAAAACATGAGCAAAAAACAAATATTGTTAATGCATTCTAATTAGGTCTGTTTTATGCACCAAGTAACACCAAATCAACACTAGAAGTATCACAACATGACAAAAGTATATCACCCACTTTATAATCAACAGTGTAGACAGCATCTATTAAAAAGGGAAACATTGAATTCAGTCGTGTCATGCCATGCCACTAGCTTCCTTCCAATGCATCTGGTAAACCACACCCCATGAAAACCACACCCAAAGTCAATACTAAAAGGTTACCCTAATACAAAATTGACATTTAAGCTTAAGTTCAAAATATATAATAATAGATCCAATTCTTTCAAAGCAACTCATCTAAACTCATCTGCTGTATTGCTGATGTCAAGGCTGTGATTTATGTCTGAATGCTTGAGGAGATTTGGCTCAACACACACACACTGTACCCTTGGCAACCTGTTCCCTTTTTGATTATTATTTTGAGAATTTGGTTTGCATTGCAAGTTTAAAGATCAATGTCATTGTAAGAATAACGTTTTTCAAGAAAGTTGCGACTCTCCTTCAAACACACTTTGGGAAACTCTGCCATAGACTATGATTTTGTTTATCCTGAAAACTGTTTTAGTGCTGTATCTTGGCTGTATAAGGGACAATGTCCTGTGAGGACATATTTAGCTTGAAAAATCCATAAAAATCATAATTTCCTACATGTATTTTTTACTGATTGAAAATGTTTGCTTACCCTCTGGCTGTGTGGTCTCCCGCTCTCCTTCTCTGGCCTGGGTGACTTTGACAATCTGCATGCGAAGCAGCTCGATTTTCGTCTTGCTATCCTGCAGCATCTGCTGGGCAGTGGACAACATCTTCCGATCCTGGAGAGTGACAAGAGAAACAATAGATCAATAAGTAAACCTTGCAACTGCATTATAACAAATGGTAAAGACACAACAACAACAACATAAATAGTCAGGGACCACAAAGAAAGAAATATGAAGAAATCCAAGATCCATCATGTTTCCCACATATTTTAACCAATTAAATTTCATAATTTGTTCCAATAATTTCCAGTTCATTATCATTATGATGATCATTTAAAAAAAAATTAACAGATTTAGATCAATTATTTATTATTACGACACCAATGTATAGCCAATGAATCCCTTTCTAGCCAACGAAATACTTTATAGCAGAATATAAATGTAAAATTTGTATTCACTACAGAAATTGATATGACTTTTACAGGGATTTTTCCAGGGAATGTGTTTTCCATAACTATGGAAACCCTTTAATAATATCCAGCCACAACAGCATTCATATGTCCCAAAACACTGTATGTAGACACTGTGGAGCAATCAAACAATTTTGTTCGAACATCCCAACCAGCCTGACACAGAAACAAAAGGGGAGTGTTTGAGAAAGCAGACATATTCTTGCCATTCCATTTGATGATTATTACTTTATTAGCAGGCACACACACAAAAAAAAAAAAAAAAAAAAAACACACTAGAGCTGAGCTTCCCCAATATAAGAAATTACCATGAAGACCAGCAGGCCAAAAGTCCAGTAGTCTTCATTAAACTCTTCTCTTAATGATCATGAGAAGCAGCCAGGTGTACTCCACACCCAAACATACTCAAATATCAAACACTGACTGTGCAATTTTCGCCCCAGAGCTTTAGGAGCGCACAACAGATATATATATATATCCTGAAATGCAGCATCTACATTATGCAAATGAAAGAGACACACTGACTGATTGCGATACCCAAAACAGCCTCATACAGCCCCAATGTAAACAATGTTGCAACATGAAACCTTCTCTGAAACCTGCAGAAAAGACCCATTCAAGAGGTAAAGGAAGAACGAAACCATACCGTCCATAGCGCTCTCCCCCTCTCAATGCAGCTCAAGAGGTCATCTGTCATGTTTTGTGAACTTTCAGATGGCTGGTTGACATCCCCTTGCTCTTCTTTGACCCCCATCAGACGTTCCCTCCTGATGTGTTTTTCTCTCCATCCTCAAAACTGCTCATGTCAGTTTATCCTGTATAGCAGACACTGAGCCTCAGACATAGCAGATCAAGGATCAGTATCCGGGAAGCCACCATTCTTTCTTCTTATTGTTCTACTGTCCTTGTATCTCGCTCGCTCACTCACCACTCCTCCTCCTCCCTCCCCTTTTTACATTTTTTCTTTCAGCCTCTCTCTCCCTCACTCCGTTTACAAATCTCCTTCCAGAGGAGTTAGCCACCTCTAACTGCTGCTGCCGTGCCCTGCCTGGCTGGCCCAAACCCGAATGCTTCGGCATTGGTCGGCACAAAGTCACATGGGCTGCTGCTGTCGCCAGGCCTAGGACCGGAGAAACCGATTCAGTACCAGCAAGCTCTTCCATTTCAGACTCAAAGAGAGGATGTTTTAGTGCGCGAATGAGCGTTCTGAGCGTGTGTGTGTGTGTGTGAGATCAAGGCCCGGTACTCAAGCTGTCTGAATCCAGCACAAACATAAATCACAGAGCTGCCAGCACACAGTGTTCTCAGCCAGACGCCGCAGCATTATTGAAGCCCTGTCTGATAGAAATGCACAGACTCAAAGAATAAGTGGCAAATACACTCACGGCTAGCTAGAGTTCATGAGACTATCACTCTAAAAGGGTAATAAAGAATGGGGGGTGGGGGGGACTTGGGACCTCCTTTGTGTGCATATTATCATGTTTCATAGCATTTTGGCAGTGACCCAAACTGATTTAAATACACAGAGCAGTGGAATGCGAGTTAATCATCTCCAAGATGCACAGGAGATAAAAAGAGACCATGAGGGGAAATCCTCACCTTGACAGAGCTGTTGGCGTAGGTCTGGATGATGTTCTCAGCTCCTTGTTTTACTTTGAGCTCCATGGTAAGCTGTTTTTTCAAAGTACGGACACGGCTGCCCAAGGGTGACGTGACCTCTTCCCAATGGCAAGGGTCTGGAGAGGTGGCATCGTCTGAGAAAACAAGGGTTTTCAGAGATTTATTCTATTATGAAAAGCAAATGAGAAAAAGATTTAAAAAAAAAACATAAATGCAATGCGTAAAAACTAAAAGGCCACAACTTTTATAAAAAATAATATAAAATAAAAAATTGGAAAGTTTGGGGTCAGTCATTTTTTTTAAATAAGAAATTAATACTTTTATTCGGCAAGGACACATTAAATTGATCAAAAGAGCATTGATCATGACAGTAAAGATATTTATAATGTTACAAAAAATTTCTACTTTTAAAAAAGTTTATTTATCCAAGAACCTTGCAAAAAAAAATGTATTGAGGTTTCTACAAAAATATTAAGCAGCATAATTGTTTTCAACATTGATAATAATGTTCAGCAAATTGTGATACTGAAGAGAATGTATGAGCAAGAGTAATGGCTGCTATAAATTCAGCTTTGCTATTGCAGGAATAAATTACATTTTAAAAGTTATTTCATGCTTTAATAATATTTCACAAGACTGAATAGGGGGAAAAATAGGGTGGAAACCTGATCAGTTCAATCATTTTAATCTACAACATTTAAAATATATACAAATAAAAATTATTAAAACTCAATATATCAATAGATCAAAGGCCAAACATAACCCTCTTGTCTCACCTGACACAGTCTCTTTCTGTGTGGCCATAGCACGTGCATTCAGCTCCTGCAGCTCCCAGTGGAGCTGCTCGAGTTTGCGGCTAGAGGCTCTAAGCTGACCGTCCACATCGGCAGCATTCTTGCGGTTGGTCACCGCCCGTCGCAGTCGCTCAGCCGCCTCTTTGATCTTCAGTTCCCTCTGGATCTCCTGCCGGAGAAGGGCAATGGCATCCTCTACACGCTGCTGGAACTCAGGGTCCATGAGGTCACCTTCAGCCAGACCCCGCAGACAGCTGCCCTGTGGTGTTCAAGTGACATTGAGAGAAAAGCAGTATAAAAAAAAAGTCAATATGCTTGCTTGTTTATGTCAGCCTTTTTGATAAAAACAGTAAGGCAAGCATATGAGATGCTGTTAAAAAGGTTAAGTAAACATAGAATTTTACTAAACTAACCAAACAATCCATTATGTGTGAAGGTGATATTATTGATATATCGATAAAGTAGACTTACTATGAGCAAAGTTGGATTGGGTGAAAATAAGGTCACTTACTGATATAAGCTGTTACACCATAAAGGCAAAGTTGGCAAACACACATATATCTCAAATACTCACAGACACTTACATATTTTCAAACTGCAGTGGTTGGAAAGAGCTAAATAAAAGGAAGAAACCAACATTTTTCTACATAATGCCTATTTTCTGAACAAGCCATTGATACGGCATCTCACTTTGAAACACATAGAGGGCAGTGTTTCACACATTCTGACTGTCCCCGCAACAAAAATTGAATCAATTTACATAGAGTAAAGATTATGACGTCCCATAATTAATTTAATAATAGAAGTATTCAACAAATTGTACAGTAGAGTTGGTCTAGCAGCCAGGACAGGACTTTCTTAACAGCAGTAAAACTGGAAAAACAGGCAAAGCACTTAAAAATAAAGAGACACTGTCAACTATAACCTTTTCAGCTACTTTAAATCACTAAAGACTTAAATGTGACTAAGGTTAGTTTTTTTTCATTCACACATAACTTAAGTTACATTTAAGCCTCAGGTGAAGGACACAAGAGGAAGCCAAGTCCTGTCAAACTTGTTCAACCTGAAAATCTTTAGTGTATTTAATTGTTTGGACATTACCTTATCCAATACTACATATAAAGCAAAATAATAGAATGAGACAGATCTAATTGTTTTCTAAATTTTTATTTTAGACTAGTTTCGCTATTAAAAAAATACTTGTGGGTGACTTGGGTTGCATTACTCGATCAAAAACATTGGGACTCACCATAAGTTAATGTAAACATGAGCGTATGACGCTAAACGAACTTTAACGATCTGACCGCTTTATTTAGGCTTATTTGATCTTCAAACAGTAACGTTAACAGTTAAGTTACTTCTCCGTTTTTCAAACGTAGCCGTATCAATAAGGCTGTCTAATCAATAAGACTATCTAATTTGTTTCTTACCTGTAGCGTCACGCCCGACATTGTGAAAGAGAGTCCGACACACGCAGACAGACACTGATGCTGCTCGGACTAACCGACTCTTCGCTCGAGCTCTCGGCTGGCTCTGGCTCACGCGGTGCCTGATTGAATGACAGGAACCATATCCAGACTTCCAAGTGAATCTGAGAGAGCTCAAACAAAAAAGACATTCAAAGGGAATAAAAAGTGTTGTGCTGTTGTATACTGGAAAGAAGATACAGGTGACTGTCTGTCAGCTGGGAGGCTAGACGGCTCTCGAATTACCGGTAGTTTTTTTTTTTTTTTTTTTTTTAATGGATGTTGCATTGCCTTTCCCATTTCCTGAGGTTTGAAAAATCCTCGCCGCCTCCCTTTTCAATGATTGGCTGGCAGCGCTGTCAGTCACAAGTGTTGCACTGAAGTCATTGGTGCAGAGAGTGGTTCTCAAACTTTTTCAGGAGGAGGCCCCCTTGTGTAGGGTGAATCCTTTTGTGGCCCCCCCAAAAGAAAACTCATAACGAAAACATCCTCAAACGTACAATTTTACTTACAAATTTTAGATTTACCAAAAACAAATGAATTTGTACAATGCTGGAACAACAGTTCTGTTTTTAGCTTTATGTCTTTGAATATACAAAATTAGTTAAATTGTACATTTCATTAAATATAACATTTTTTTTTATAAAAAATGGTTTTTAATATTGTCTGAAGAGTGCAACAAAAGTAGGCTATTGAATACTGAACATTTGTGATGTTCATAGTAAAAGATAAACACTGAAAAATTAATTTGCTGATTGTAAAAAAAGTGCATTAAACTTCTTACATTTTAAGGTAGTAAATGACAGTGGCTCAAGTTTGGTTTGCAAATTTGAACAGCAATCTGTTTTTTCAGCAAGAAACAAACAAAAAAAATTTACTCTAGGCCTACTTAAAGAAATACTTTTTCAATATAGAAGACATACAATTTTATACAAGTTTTACAATATAAAAGAAATCATGCAATGCAGATTTCACATAGGACAATCCAAACTTACATACAGGTAAAATAATTTTTTTTTAATAATTTCATATTCTAGAATTTCTTTGCGGCCCCCCTAGCGCCATCTATTGGCCCCCCAGGGGGCCACGGCCCCCAGTTTGAGAACCGCATACACAATAAATGCACCACGGAAGCTGCAAAGTTTCAACAAAGGCATTGCATAAAAGTAAAAAAAACACACAAAAAAAACACTGACTTTCTCTACAAAACTGCAATTTTGAGTTTATAAAATAAAAATTCTTATTATGGTCGTTAATTCCCTATATGGGGGTAAACTTTTTAAATGAACGCCTACATATTTATAGCCTATTTAAAACGTATAAACTGTTCAAGTTGAATAAGAACAAGTATGCAATGATAATAATAAAGGTATAGCTTTCTTTTACTGTCTATGAGGTTTAGGCGTTCATTTAAATTCGGGCTCTACTTGTCTCATGTCTCGCGATGGTTGAAAAGTAGCCTACGAGATTCAACGGCGTATAAATCCAATAATATCAGTTTTCAAGTGCGTCATTAATAATAGATATAATGGCGGCTTTGCTGGCGAAGAAATGTGCGTCTCCGCTATTTCTCAAAACGCTTTCAGCTCCATGTATGACGATGCAATCTGGGTATCACATAAAGGTAAGCTATATGATTCATGCCAATCGACTAAGTTACTAACGTTTTCTGCTTTGTTGTAACTGTTAATTCAAGTGGCTTCCTGTGAGCTTGATACATAATGACAGTAATTGGCACTGTATTATCAACACTAAAATAGGACGTCGCATGTTTCGCATGGTTTCGTTTTAATGCTTTAAGTCAGTCTTTGTGTCATATCACATTTATGCAAAATGCAAATGACAACTTTTTAATTTAACGGGAAACTTAGTACTAAACTAACTAGTTAAAAAATTTGGGTGCCCTTGGAGATCAGTATGGTCGTTTATTTGTCTTGTACGCACCGACACATGATACTGACTTTGAACCAAATAACTCAATTGTCCCCTCCCCTAAAATGTATTTTTGTTTTAAAGGTTTTGGACCACTATGAGAACCCAAGAAATGTTGGATCTTTGGATAAAAATGCCAAAAATGTGGGCACAGGGTTGGTTGGTGCCCCTGCATGTGGAGATGTGATGAAACTGCAGGTAATCCTCTCTAGCTTCGACTAACTAATGAATGACTGCTTTGTTCATCCTAAATAATACATTTATTCAGTGACTGGGTATGTTTACTACTGTAGGGTTATTGGCTGTCATTTATCATTATTTAAATAGGTGAATCTTGCAGGATTCTTCATCACATGACATGTCTGAAGCCTCGGGTTGGATTGAGGATTTAAACAGGATGAATCTGCACTAAAGAATTATTTCTATAACTATTCATTACAGAGAGAGTCAGTGGTTCATTCCCAAATACTGATGATGGAAACTCATTTCATGCCACCCTGCAGGCACACAGTGGTTATTTATTTTTAAGTGTACTGTTTCTCTCTCACCTAGATTGAGGTGAATGAGGCTGGGAAGATTGTGGATGCCAAGTTCAAAACCTTTGGCTGTGGCTCTGCTATTGCTTCCAGTTCCTTGGCAACTGAGTGGGTGAAAGGCAAATCTGTAAGCAAAAATTGTCACATTTGCTAGTTACAGTTCTTCTTGCTCTGGATTATCCTTTTTTCCAATCTGTATTGTAACAAAGCTTGATTGATTGTAACTGAACATTTTTGTCCTAAATAGCAGTATCAAACCAAAAAAACGATCTTCATTTGTACAGGTTGATGAGGCCCTCCAGATAAAAAACACTCAGATTGCTAAGGAGCTTCGCCTTCCACCAGTCAAACTGCACTGCTCAAGTAAGATTTCTGATTCATCTGTGCTTGTACAATATTTTCTAGCTTTGTTTTTGGTGTTCAGGTTGACATTAACTGTTAACATTTATATGTACAATGCAAATTAATTGCATATTAATTGTATGTTCAAGCGGATTTTGTTCTATTACTGACCTGGTTCTCTGTGTTTTGCAGTGCTGGCAGAGGATGCCATTAAAGCAGCTTTGGCAGACTATTGTCTGAAACAGGAAGGTGAACCGGGTGAGAAGATCGCCGTGTCCTGCAACTAGGAGCTGCACTTGATCCTCTAAATCAGTGGTTCTCAACTGGTTCTTCACAACCAAATGTTGTTTCAGTTCTGTTCTGTCTGTGCAGCAGGAAAATAAAACCAAATGCTAGTGTTAAAATGCGTTCCACAGTTAAATATTGACATGGAAGAGAATAATGGATTTAATTTCTTCCATTATGCAAATAAATTGATTTTACATATTGTTTGGTCTGCACAGATTATGATAATTTTAGTTAATCTCAGGGTTTGGCTTTGGGTCACTAATTGATGCCCAATGTAAACTCTAGGTCTTAAAAAAATACCAGTTGAGAACCACTGCTTTAAATCCTCCTTATGAGTTTAGACCAAAGCTCTCCAACTCTTGCACTGTTTCAAGTCTTTTAAACGCACAATATAAAAGTACTGACCTATAGACTGTTACTATGTCCAAGCCATATTTGTTTAGATATGTTGTTTGATATGTATTAGTGGTTTCACTTGCTAGCTGAATGCGCACAAATCTTGTTCTCTTTTAGTTTGAAGGAATGGAAATGTGATTCTGATGGTGACTTATCCTGCTGGTCTTTTATTCAATGGTCTTTCAAACATTCATTTGTTAAATGAATAAAGCATCTGTAAACATCACTGGATTTAATGCTGCTTACCAATGGGATCAATAAATATGAAGCACATTTAATGTGATGAAGTGATTTTGCTCTTGGTTTCGGCATAGCTATTATATGGCCTGTCCACTTGAAACTGTCATCCATTCTGCCTTAAAAAATAGAAATATTCATAAGTTCCAGAAGAACTCTTCTTCTTTTCTGTGTGGAAAAACAATATCACCATAGGTGGTGCTGTTTTGCCACCATTGAATCAGGTCTAAAATAAGAAAAGAATTTTGTAATAACTTTTATCCACAAGTTTCCGAGGGGCGCTCCTGTAAAAAATAAAGTGGGTGAAACTTCCGGTGACGCGGCGGAAGTAGCATTCCAATGGTATTTTGTGTGTTAGTTAGCAAAGAGGCTAGCTGTTTTTCGGAGAATTATTTTACTATTTAAAGACGCAAATCTTTATGGGAGATGTCGTTACGGAGCTCAGGGACAACATTTGCTGTTCGTGGTTGTATGTATAACCGGACTAAACTAATTCAGTGGCTTAAACGTGATTGTTTTGAACATAAGCTGAAAACGAGTGATCCTGCCAGAGCCCGTCTCTGATCCTGCCAACGACTGTAACGTTAGTTTCCATCACCTCCCAAAAGACGACGAATCTTCCTGTGTACATTTTTTTTTAATTCTTTATATTCTATAAATTCTATCAGCATGTGATCAGCTGTTCGCTATTGATGTTACAGCTAAACTCAGGATCAAAGCCTGAGGTGACAGAATACCAAATGTGCCAATGATGTAATGTATTCAAGTAGCACATTCATTTATAATTTTGAATAAACTCCAAAGCACAATGACTAAGTGTGTATTTTTTTTTATTTTAATTGTTTGTCAGCTCGCACATCTGTCTGTCACCATGCCTTGATGAGTATTGATTATTAATAATGTTATTATAATACTCCCAATCAACTACTGCGGAGGGGAAAGGTACTGTTATTTCACCCTTTTGAATTTCGTTGAGGTTGTGTTCCCACATCGTTATCTAGATTGGATCGCTATAACTTGAATGACTGTCAACTGTTGAATGAACGAGTGTCAAGCATGTCAAGTTGCGCTTTGTTTACTTCCAACCGGAAGTCGCGCCCACTTTTGACGCAAGGCCTCATGGGGCGTAGGAAACTTGTGGATTAATGTAATTTCAGTTTGAGTAAAACTCATGTCATATTTGTTTCATGAACTGTAAGGTGTAGATCTAAAAAACAGTGGTTGTAGTGAGTGAAGTAATGGCATTTATTGACTTCATTCAAACAAGATCTAGACATAGGTTTTTTTTTTTTTTTTTACCTTGAACATTAAAATTAAGAAGTTTGACTCAACTGCTCAAGTCCCATAAAGATCAAGTCAAGTTTATTGATTTATTGAGGATATTGTGCTCTTCATAAAGTACATGTTGAGACTAACTGATCTTTAGACTAAACTGGGACTTTGTGGCATTCAGCAGCTGTGGCTCAATACCGCTCGACCTTGAAAGGAAATATTTAGAGCCAGAGTATGTAAACAATAACCTGGCTCACAGCAAATCTTTTCTATACTGAGGCTCCTCTCCTTAATTGGAGTAGCAAATGTGCTTGGTTTATTTTTTGGGTGTGTGTGTGTGTGTTTGCGGCACATTACAAAGTTGTGAGACATTAGAAAAGACAACATTAAATGACATAAAATAGCATTCTTCATGTATAAGCCTTCCCGTCTTTATGAATGTCATCATCACTAATAAAAAAAAGAGTAAGGAAAACAAGAATAGTCATCAACACGTCAAATGAAAAGAGATTCACAAGAACTAATGCTTAAAATGCAATTTTTATGTTAAAGTCTTGCCCAAATGGCATCTGTTCATATCATTTACATTTAAGTAAATTGAAATACTAATTTTAAGCAGAGTACATTTATATTTGGTACATCAAAGTAAACACTCACAGACAAAATGTTAAAGTCATACATTTTCCTGAAGAAAATCAGATAATTTGGTTGCACTTTATTTTACAGTACATGCGCTCATGTGTACTTGCCTAAAAAAGTATTGGGTAATATAAGCTAATTAAATGAGTTAAGGTTGGGGGTAGATTCAGAGTTAGTACCTAGTTATTACCCAGTTATTGCAATTACTATAATAAGTACATAGTATGTACATAGGAACAGGACTGTGAAATAAAGTGCTACCGATTATATCAATAAACTTTCATACTGCATTCTTTAGTTTTACAATGTGTTCGATAAGTACTCTTTTGTCAGTATTTATGTAAGTGTTTCCAAACTAAAATGCTGTTTTCTCTTCACTGATAAATGGTGAGTCTGAAGTAGCAACTTCCTGTTTGTTCGTGTTCTCTTGTATCTCTGAATTCTCTGGCCCAGATGGATGTTTGCTCTCTTCAGGGGGCCCAGAGTCCGAGGGGTCAGTCTTTTCCATGTCACAAGCAGGGACGCTGTCCTGGGACCTGCTGGGGCTGCTCTTTTCCACAGAATCCTCAATGGCAGACTGATTTGTGGTCTTGTCCTCAAGCAGGCCACAGCCATTCTCTTGACTCTTGTCGCACTGAGGACGTTCCTTGTCATCGGCAGATTTTTGATCTTCTGCCGTTTCATTCTTCCCTTTCCATGGACTCTTGGCTGGAGTTCGGAGGTTCTTGGTAGCCAGCATGATGTCCTCCTGGAGCTGCCTGGCTGAATTCACCGGCTCCTCAGTGGATCTGGTGTTGGCTTTCTCCGGGACTTCGTTAAAGATGCGCACTCCTCCAGTCTTGTCTCGCTCGTCCACATACATCATGGAGGGGAAAGCGCAAGGGTAGTAGGTGCTGACTTTACGTCGGTGACTCAAGATGGCAGCCGAGCAGAGGATGGTGAGGATGAGCAAAAGTAAAGTGGTAATGACAATTATGGGAAGGTGGTTCTCTTTTAAGAAGTCTACCATCTGATTCAAGAACGATTTGGTATGTTTTTCTCCATATATGGAGGTGGTCTTCACCGATTCATTGAGGAAGGAGGAAATGCTAGGTGTGGGGATCAGGTCTGTGCTCTCAGATTCCGACTGCCCACTGCCCTCCATAGAGTCATTTAAAATGACTGGAGTGCCATTCGCAGAGTGCCTGGTTAGCAGAGTGACGGACAGGCCGATGAGGCATCGGAGAGCTGAGTGGTCCATCCTGTGACTGAATACCTGAGATGGTTAAAAAGGCATTTTAATTACTCCATTTTACATTTTTAAACCACGTTTGTTTTTTTAAACATCCCAGCTAGCCGAGAATCTTCTCAGAACTTTGGCTAACATTTGTTTTTTTGTTTACAAGGTTCTTGAGTTATGAATGCTATATAGATTTTTAAGTAACATTGGCAAAATAATAACTTCTAATTTTCCTTTCACGTTTTTACTGACATTTGTAAACCGAGAGAAAATGCCTTTCATACAAAAAAAAAAAAAGAACATTAAAGACTGTAAAGATTCAGAAATAACATTTTCAAAGTTCCGTGCTACTGACACTAGGGGGCGAAATGCGAAAATCGTATGCGAAGCTAACGCGACTTGAGTAGTTTTTTAATTGCATACATTTAACTCTTACTCAAATAACTATTAAGATTATTACTTTTACTTTGAGTGAATATTTCTATAAGTACTTATACTTTCATTTAAGCTTTATTAACAGTTGGCTAGTAATGCACAGATCAAGAAACAATAATTTGAAATGATTTATTAATCTTAAATGTTCATTTATAAAAAGTACTAGTCAATTGTTAATTTGTGTTTCTTCATAATTATGTGTATTGATTAGGATAAATAATGTTAAATTCTACAACTTAACACAATTATATCTATACACTGTAAAAGTGATCAGTTGACTTCACTTAAAAAGGAGGAAACCTGTTGCCTTAAAATTAAGTTAATAAACTGCATGCAAAATTGGGGAAAAAAAGAAGTAATGTGAATACATAGCTTAATTTTTTTTTTTAAATTATGCCTGATTTATTTTACTTAATAATTTTAAGACAATGGGTTTCCTCACTTTTTTAAGTTAAGTCAACTGATCTCTTTTTACAGTTATTTAGGTATAGTGTATAACTAATATAGTTTCTCAAAACAGCTGGTCAACCAACAAAATAAATGATGACGATTCATTTCTTTAAACAAAGATCTTTCATCAGAGGTCTCTCTGCTCTGTACCATCTGTTCTCAAGCTGGCGACCATAATCATCACTGGGCATTTGCACAATGGAAATAGTATCAAGCTCATGTGGTGCCTCATTTTCCAACACACACACACACACACACACACACACACACACACACACACACACACACACACACACACACACACACACACAGCATTAATATTAGTCTATCAGTGCTTTAATGCTAGCTTCAAAGTTCTGCCCACATCTCATTAACTTCCTTTTATGTAAATCTCTATCTTTTAGGGTCAACTTGCAAAAGTCAACAGCAAAAGTGCATTCAGAAACGATTCTATGTCACAGAACCTTTCAAACGGTTAGAGAACAGTTTTAAACTTGGTTTGCCACATCTGGACATGGACCTTTTAAAGCTGTGCATTCCTGTAAGGCAAGTCATCTGTCTATCTATCGTTACATGGACAGGAATGGCATTACTAAAAATATAAAACAGAGTAAAGTGTTGAAATCTGAATTCATACTTACTTTCAAGTGCTGAAGTTCTAAAACATGTGACTGGAGATGATCTAACATGGAGAAGGACGCTTCTGCTGTTTCCTCCTCTCAAGCTGAATGTCTGTTGTTACAGACTGCACGATGAAGAACAGTTGGATTGGTGAGGGGGGGAAGAAACTCTAGTTCTCCCCTCCTCCTCTTTTTTTCTTCTGCTTCTACTCTGTCCCAGAAAGACTGACTGCAGTTCCAGACACACTGTTCTCGTTAAAGGCTGGTTGGGGGGAGAGCTGGGGTTTTTTCCTCCTGCCTGTGCACTGGAGAACTTCAAGCCACCAGATGTAACAGTTTGTTTCTAAAGAATATTCTCCAGATTTTTACTTTCATCCATCCATTATCTTGAATCTAAAAACCCTGATTAAACCCATTCTACGAATCATTAAATCATCAAATCTGTTTGAGGGTGAAATACAGACATTGAGAGTCTCTTGTAAAATACTTTGGGTTTGTGTTTGGTCTTCAAACAGAAGCTATCAGATCCCTGAGGAAGAGGTTTATGTTTCCTGTGCTCACGGGACCAGGGGGTAGAGGGCACACGTGCCGTGAGCCACTGCTGGAACAATGGACAGGGTGTTGAGATCAGAAATATATAGGGCTGCAGTTTGCCCTAAAACCAAAGAATAGCAATATAATGATATAAAGGCTAAAGGGTACTGTCTCAGTATTTAAAAAAAATCCCAAAACAATTATAGGAATATTTGTCTGCTATCTTATGGTCCCTTAGACTTAGTTTTCAATATGGCAGCCCTTTGAGGCATAGGACTTTTAATGACTTGTCAAGACCTACAAGATCATGAAAACATCTGCTTTAAGAGCACCTATAATCTTGAGAGAGTTGAGGATGAAGGATGTAGTGTGTCTTTTTCTTGTCATTCTTTCTTTATTTCAATAAACTTTGCTGAGAACAGACTTAGAAAATAGTCTTTACGTGCATTAACAATAAGTGAGAGATAATGTCCTTTTCTAGGAATCTTGGGATAATAGGGGTCTTGAATTACCCCAAAGAGGTTTATTTTGCAATAATGATTTTAAAAAAAATTACAAATTTGGGAATGAATTATTGAATAATTGTACCTGTGGCGTATATTATCTTAAATATACTAATAAAAAAGTCAATGTAAACTATTAGCCTAAAAACAACAAGAACATTGAAAATAATGCATAAAGTTCTTTGAGGTCATTTTCACTTTTTTTCATTATTAGGAATATTAGGAAACATCTGTTTGATTAATGGGACAATAGATCAAACCAGTGGTGCAGAACATTCAGATTTTGAGATAAGTAAATATATAGGCTATTAAACTTACATTTCTTCTGAAAAAAGAAGAATACTGCTAACATTATTTGTGAAAATTGACTCTTAAGGTGCTAAAGGAGGAAATTAAGTAACATGTTGCTCATGTTGTTATTTAGCACGTTTTGAAATGTATGTCTTCTGAGTCACGTTGCCTGTTTTGGGTATAAACAAGGGATATCAGTATACTAGCTCTATTTAAAATACACTGCACTATTCAAACACTGTTTAATGTAATTCAAGAATCCTTTTGAATATAGACCTCTTGAAAGTATGAAAAAGTTATGGAAGTTTAAACTTATATCAAATATAGCCTACTGTACTTATTTATTTATTTATTTATTTATTACTATAATGACTATAAAATCAAAGACATATTTCTAACCAAGTTGTGTTCCAAATTTGAAGTTGATATCATAAAGATTTAAGTTCCCATGAAATTTAGGCATAATACCCAAAATAGCCACCGGGTGACTTACATTCCATTGAATAATTGCACGCATTCTGCCATAACAAATTAATACATTTCTGTCCAAATATCACTTCTGTCACAAAATATGGAACATTGAGACACAGATTTTCTGACAATAGGCTATGTGTTTTGTCAAGATTAGAAAAGGTTTTCCCAGGGCCAGCAAGCACAGAATGTTCCCGAATGGTCCCATGAGGTTATTTTTTTTTTTGGGGGGGGGAACCAAATAGGAACGTTATAGGAACATTGCATGTAGGTTATTTTAGGAGAATGTTCCGGGAACGTTCCCTTAACCGTAAGGGAAAGTTCTAGGAACGTTCTAGGAATCAAAAACTAACGTTCCCAGAACCTAAATTTGTTTGCTGGGTTGATAATAAATTATGAAATATATCGATGCCAAAGGGGGAGGAAGCCGATTAAAGAATTTAGAGTACTATTTCTAACCAACATCTAATTTCAAAACGGGTTTCACAGGCTGAATCTTAAAGGGTTAGTTCACCCAAAAATGAAAATTCTGTCAGTATTTACTCACCCTCATGTTGTTCCAAACCTCTATGTGTTTATTTGTTCTGCTGAACACAAAGGAAGATATTTGGAAGAATGTTTTAATCAAACAGATCTCATTCCCCATTGACTACCATAGTAGGAAAAAATACATACTATGTCAATGGGGAATGAGATTTGATTGAAACATTCTTCCAAATATCTTCCTCTGTGTTCAGCAGAACAAATAAACACATAGCTGTTTGGAACAACATGAGGATGAGTAAATGCTGACAGAATTTTCATTTTTGGGTGAACTAACCTTTAAGTTCGTAAGTTTCGTAGGCTATCATTTGTCAACATTAGATCATCAGGTGAGGTATGGGATAATTGTTTTAAACTTGCAGTGGCAGTAGTTAACAGATTAATGACTTCGTCCTTTTTTATATCCTAATCGGACAACGTGACTTGTTTAAGTCCAGATTATTAAAAATGACATTAAATTATTTTTTGCTTAGCATTTTCCACTCTTGCTTGTTGTTGTTTTTTTTTTGTTGTTGTTATAATTTCACTTAATTTTATAACCTTGATATTTACGCATTTTTACACATTTGAATTGAGTACTCTAATATAGAATTTACTTTGTTTTTTAAATTATTGCCTGAACTTACTTTTCCATGTAAATTATATATTTTTTTCTGTAGTATTTACTTCACCACAAAATCAGTTCACTGTAGTGTAATTATGCATTTAAGGACAGTGTAATAATAGTTAACTACATGTACTTACTACAGGGTTGCATGTAATTATTCATAATTTATAGTTATTCCTACAGATGTGTAACAACAAGTGTGACCCAGGATTCTTGTTTAACATCACAGTAAACAGTCCTACAAACACCAAGAAAATGACCACAAACTTCATGAAGAAATATTAATGAAAGGATTTATTGTAGTGTCAACCTTTTTTATTGTAGGTGAAGTTTGGAATGCATGCACAAGACTGTTTAGGACACAGATAAGTGCTCAGATCCATGGATGATGTCCTCCAGCAGTGGTCAACTGAGGAGGTCTGTCTAAAACCAGAAACACACATAGAGGCACCAATACATTTACAGTACATATACATCAGAAGAGCTCGCAGGTAGCCACTGCCTCGTAAAGCCAAGTTCATGTATCAGAGCATGTGTCAGTCCAATATTCTGAAACATGATGAATAATTCAAAAGTGGGGGCAAACATAGATAATGATAGCAACAAAAAAAAAAAAGCCATTTGATACTATTTCTGTGGACAAATAAAGTCATGCAAATGGCAAGTATTGAGCATCCAATGTTTCTGACTTAAAAGTGTTTGATTTCCTGAGGTGCAACAGTAATTTCATAATTACTATAAAGTTACAGCGGTAGGTTTTTGATTTATGATGCCTATGCATGATTAATATATTTTGAACAAGTACAGGTTTAAGTTCACATTCATTCTGCAACGTTACCGTTATTGCTTCTGGATAAACTGTAACTGATTGTGTTATATTTTGAAAAACCCTGTTGGTGGATGCTTTATAATCAATTATGATGATCTCACAGCCAGGCAATGGAGGAGAAGACAATGTGCTTAATACTTCAGTGGTCATGATCATCGCAATGAACAGTATATGGACCGATTTTAAAATCCGAAATATTGAACTTTAATGGTTATGGGCATTTCTTAGGTTTCACTAGAAAACCCAAACACTACAAGATAATTGGGCCGATTTTGGGCCCAATTCTCCTCTTCCGACAATCCCCGGTAAAGTCCTGATTATCCGACAGATTATTGACAGATTATCTTATCAGATTTTCTTGTGGTGTGAGGTGCGTTAAGGGTGATTGAATCTGCTCGGGACCACACTGATCTCAAATCGTAAATATCCAAGAAGTATCCAATACGATCAGAAGTTCTGTTGTGTGAGGGGAATCCCAAAGACACACACGCATGCACTCTGTAGATTGTAACTTGGAACGAAATGATACAAAATCAGAAATCGAGCTGCCGGTGTGGTGAAGAGATGAGTCCCACCTTAGGACCTAAGCAATCCGATTGGTTCAAAGCACATTTTAAGATTTTGCGAGATTTCCAGTGTTCTCGGTTGGGATCAGTTTTTTGTTTTTTTTTGGTTTTTGTGAATGGAATCGGTTGAAATTATGTTTTTTATCATCATGTTTATGATCATGTGGGCCAGCCTTAAATCATATCCGTATCATCACCAATGATTCGTTTATGAAGTACCAATGGCCTTTACAATCACACGTTACTGCCTTTTCTTCTTATGTCCCACTTTGAATAGTATGACATGTAAATTCATGTTTTTCAATAAGCCACTATCTACAACTGGGAAAAACATATAAAAGTAGAAATAAAAGGAGAGGCGACCATCATCACCTCAAATTTGGCAGCACAACAAAAAAGGAAAGAGAAATACTGATTTGTATATACAATGACACTCTGTAACATACTGGTAAATATCAGAATACTCATGGAAACAATGTTACAATAACTAAAAAAGTAAGAACATTTTTAACAAAATGTAAAACATCAGTTAAAACCAGTGAGCGCTCTTTGCCACAATTATGCTTCTGTTATGCGAATGCTTGGGGGAGACTTGACAAAAAGTAAAAGTCCATCTTGGAATGTTGCTTGAAGTTGTCCATGTGAGAAACACCAAGCGGAATGATCGAGTCAAATTGAGAAATTTTGGCAGTGACTGACCTCCCCTGCCCACCTGAATCTCTCTCTTTCTCTCCTTACTGACGCTATGGCTCAGACCACCACCAGTGTCTTAGATTGCCACTTTAGCCACCTGCTCTTCCAGTTTGGCGATTCTCCTGTCCTGCAGCGTGACCAGATCTCTAAGGGACTTGACTTCTCGCAACAGCTCCTCTAACTTCACTTCATTCTTCTGCGGAGCAGAATAAAAGAAACAGTGTTTTAGCAGCAGTTTTTAGAGGGGAAATACAAACAAGCCAATGAAGCATTACTCTTACTCTGGTTAGCTGAGGAGAGGCAGGTTTCTGAGGAGTTGCTGGCTCCTCCACCTTCTTGGTTGCCTTGTTATCCAGCAGATTTTTCTTGACTACTTTGAGGTCACGGTTCTTGCCCGGGACATAACCATGTTTGAGCGAGATCAGGATTGGTTCGCCATTCTTGCCTTCGAACCACTCCTCAGCCTCTAGCGCCGGGTCTGGACCTGCTGTGTCCGGATAGAGGTCGTCCTGGAAGAGGTCTGACTGCCAAGAACAGAAGAGACAGGAAATACCATAATGAGTATTTTAGAATCGTGTAATCAAGCTGTTTGTTTTCTCTGAAAACATTTGCTGCTTTAATGTTAAATGAAATCATGTGCCTCCCTTTTCTTCATCAATTAATGACCATTAAATCACACTTTTTAATAAGCTTTGCCAGTAACACTTAACTTAAAACTAAATCAACTGAACATCATTAAAATTATTTTAATAATGGAGATTTTAGGATTAAAATGAGGAATAACAATATCATACAGAATAACTACATAAACATCAAACATAATACAGTAAAAAGTACCTTTCTAGGGACGGTCATGATAATTGGCTCACACTTTCTCTCATGAAGTTTATAAAACCTGTGAGAAACAACAGACATGTTATTGGCGCCATTGTGTTATTATTGGTGTTTTATTTATGTTACAAAAGATTTTTTCAATTTATTTTTTTTATTATTTATTATTTATTTTTTTAAATAAATATTGTTCTTTTGAACTTTCTTGTAATCAAAAAATCCTGAGAAAACATGTTTCTACAAAAATATTAAGCAGCACAACAATTTTCAACATTGATAATAAGAAATGTTTCTTGAGAAGCAAAACAGTATATTATAATGATTTCTGAAGGGTCATATGACACTGGAGTAATGATGCTGAAAATTCAGCTTTGCCATCACAGGAATAAATTACATATTTAAAAAAAAAAAATCGATACACACACACACACACACACACACTAAAACTAATGCTCCATACAGTGATAATCAGTTGTCAAATAACATTTCAATGACCTTTATGAGCCACAGCATGATCAGTGCCACACTGCCATCCCATTAGATTTTACAGTCAATGACAGGCTAATGCCTCCCCCTACTGGAGAAGAAAAATGAAACTAGCAGCAAAAAAAAATGAAACTAGCATCAATCAAGTCACACCACTGAGAAACATAATCACAACAATGCTGAAGGTCTTTTTAGTTTCTCTAAAATGTCCAGGTTCTGAAGTTGGCCATCAGCACCTCAAACAATTCAGCCTGCTTTTTAAAAAAAAAAAAAAAAAAAAAAAAAAAACTTAAAATACCTGTCCAGTAAAAACAGCGCATACCTGGCTATCTCGCACTTGTTGACGTCTAGGCCTCTTTTAGGCATGTATCCCATGCCTCTCTGAGGTTCCTTGCTGGAAAACGTGTTGAGGTAGTGCACATACGGTGCCTCGTCTGTGATCTCAAAATAACGGATACTGCTGTCACCCTGGACCAGAAAACAAGCTTACAGTTTTGCAGATTTCTCCACAATGTCCTTTTCACAATTTTTATCTTATTAAAAATATATATTATACACACACACACTAATAAAATTATTATGACATCCCAGTATTGATGTTAAGCTAGTGATTCACAACTAGGGGGCCTCTGCTAACTTCTAGAGGGGCCCCAAATTATTTAAATTTAGTTAACATAATCTTAATTAAAATTCAAAATAAAAATGTCTAAGATTAAACTGACATAATGGTATTACATACAAAAAACTGTCAGAGGTACATATCAGCTCAAATAGGAGAGACTGTGACTTATTGTTTCGGACAAAAAAGGGCCTTAGTGTCAAATAGGTTGAGGAAAAACTGTGCAAAGATGTGTATAATTTATTTCAATCAATATGTTGTATAGTTAATACAATATGGCTGAACTTGCGCTTCTTGGGTTACATAAAAACGTGCTCACCTTTCCACACAGGTAGACCACATTAGTGTCAGGGTCATAAAAGGGAAGCAACACCCCATTGCTGGTGTCCATTTCGTGCACTGATATTGGCTCTTCCATGTTTTTCTTAAAAAGCATATCAAAATATTTCATTATAGTGCATAAAATAAATAAATAATAAAAAAAAATCTAGCTTTTTCTAAAACAGAGAAAATCCATTAGTTTGGGCTTACTGGATTCCATAAGGCCAGCTGCCGCTCACTCATACGACTGAAGCCGGTGGTGAAGATGTTTCCATCAGCCAGGAAGATGGCCCTCATGGGCCGGGCACCCTCATGGGCCTTATCCTTCTCCTGTGATCAACAATGCCAGTGAGACACTCAGAACTGTGAAAATAAAGAGTCCTTTTGTGATGTTTTCACTTACTGCAGTGATCTTGCCCTTGCGTGGATCGATAACGCGCACTTTCTTATCCTTGCATGCGGTACAAATGAGGCTGCCGTTGCGACTCCAGCACACACTGAAGATCACGTCAGGATGCATGTCCTCCAGGTTGATCAGAGCTTCTCCTGTGCCCACGTTCCAAACGATGATGAGATTATCGCATCCTGAAAGAGGAGAGAAGGCACAAATGTTTGTTTTTTATCATTCAGTCACAGATTTTTGATCCTCAAGATGATAAACCCAAAGGTTTTTATGTAGCGCACTTGCTTTCCAAATTTCTTACCCGCACTTAGCAGAACATTGCGAGCTGTTGGATGCCACGTCACAATGCCCACCCTTTTGGAGTGACCCTCCAACACCACGGCTGGCTCAGAAAGAGGTGAGGTGAGGCCGTTCTCAGGGATTTGCCACACCTATGTAACAAAAATGGGAATATTTGAATAATAATAATAATTACTCTTTTTTTAACTTTTTTATTTTGGATTCTGAGCATGGTTTCTATGAGAGGATGTAGCGAAGGAGCTGGGAGTACCATTACTGTACAATCTTCAGAGCCGCTGGCAATGACGTGATCATTGTTCGGGCACCAGTCGATGTCCAGCACAGGGCCCGTGTGACCACAAACAGTGGGGTAGGCCTTGTCAATACGACCTGTCTGCAAAACACAAAGCCGGGGCAGAGAGCATGAATTTATGTCTCATCTTGGATAATTCTGAACAACTATGGTTGGAAAAATGATGACATTTAATTCATATGCAGGTATGGCTTACCTTTTGCAGAGGTAGAACAAGGAAAGCTCCACCCCCACTAGCCTCTACAATAATAGCAACAAATTTGGGGTTTACTGCACAGAAGGCACTGTCCCAGGTAACCCGCGAAACCCTAATGTCATCATAGCACTGGTCATTCTTCACCGCCTGACCAAACACATGACGGAATTTACTCTGTCGTACCACTCGTCTGATCATTTCTGAAAATACAAGACAAATGTTTTGTTATTACTTGTCATAATGATTTTTTTAGATTTAAAATAACACTTCTAGTAATTCAATATTTACCTGACAAACCTGACAGTTTATATTTTGCAGTACAGTCCTAATGACATAAATGTTCAATGTTGTTTTTCAGATATAATACTGACAGTGTATCATATTAGAGTAAGATGAGCAGTCAGCTAGAGAGCACTGGGAAATGGTTTTCCATTTCACTCTGTATAAGCTATTCAAAATGCAGTTTTGTGTGTGTGAATTTCATTGAGTCTCTGTGTAGATACTTGTTTTGAGAATCCCATGCTCTGATGACAGTTTGTTTAAATTATTGAATCTATATATATATATATATGTTCTAAGTCAAAAATGGGTATTGTTCAAAATAACTTTGACACTTCAAACATTCAAGTTGGAGTAAATTGGTAAATATAATGGGTTGTTAGCACAATTATCTATTTCATTTTTTCTCAAACAAAATAATTTATTTCCTTCCTTTAATTTACATGTAATCCAATGAAGCACATATTTAGCTTACTTGACAAAATTGTTTTATAGTGTCTGAAAGTGCACGCATCAAACTAGAAAAGTAAAAAAAAACTTTCTTGAACAAATATAAATTTGTAGTTTATTTATCATGCCGGATAAAATATGCAATTCAACATAATCTAATAAAACCTAATAAAATCCCAATCCCAATCCCATCATTCTAATGATGCTACACACACCAAAGATACTAAAAATTAATGCACACATCAATGATTCTCAAAATATGTCTAGTTGCAGATTTTGAGAGTTTATTCCTGTTATAAAGAGTATAACAAATATAGCCAGGCCTACTAATTGATATTCATAATTAAACATTAACAATCAATAGTTATATGAGTCGTTTTTATTAATGAATTATGTGCATTATCTGAAGCACTTGCTGGGATGAGCCTGATTTGTGACGATGCCTTTCTAAATAATAGCAACTATCATTAATAACAATGTTAATAAATTAAGATGACTCCAAACAGCTGTGAATAAAGAAGAGAATAAAATGTGGTCATCACAATAAAGCCATGGATATGCTTTTGGAAATAGGTCAGATGTATGGCGGTGTGAGTGTTTGCTTTCTAATGGCCGAGCTGCGTTATTGATGATGATGGTGATGATGATGCTGCTGCTGCTGCTGCTGATGATGATGATGAGCATACCGGCGAAAAAAACCCCACATAAAATGTCAACTAAATGATCAATTAAGAAAAAGAGTGTGAGATAAATCATTTAGATACGAAAAAGAAGATATTCGCGTGTAGTGCAAGAGTGAGAATGGAAAAAAATGGATAGATCATAGATGGACAGGCTTCTGCTGGTGTGAGAAAATGAAACCTAATCGCTAACCGAACAAATGAATGAAAAAAGCCAAACAAGCACCAATACTGCAGCTTGTTTTGAGCCGAGCATGTTTTATTTTACATGCGCTGGCGAAATGCGACGTGCCGCTTTGGAGTGGAGGCGTGCTATCAACCCGGCACAGGTCATGATGGTCAACTTTCAATTAATATCTCCCTATTTCTGCTTATCTAGCCATATGCATGATCATCAAAGGCTGGATGTAGTCTCACGTTGCCGCTAAATGCAGCAAATGCACATGCAGGAGCGCAAGTTTTTTTTTCTGGTAAGGTACGAGCTGTTTCCAGAGCTTGTTTTAAATCAGTGATGCTTGCTAAAATCGAGCTAGCATTCCAGTAGAGGCTAGTGCAACACTGACCTGCCTTGCATTTATATGACCAAACGCAAAACGCTTACCTTTATCAGTACTAGGTCTCTCAGGGCGTCAAATTCAAAACATTAATTTATTTTCTCACAGATTCTGTTTGTGCTGGTGACTGTCTCAGTGAATTGCGGCTAGCCACAATAGCTTCCCTCCTCTCCTTTATTCTGAATGAACGGGAGAAAACGCCCTTGTTCTCCTCTCCCCTCCCCTCCTCCTCATGTCCTCCTACATGAACATCAATTCTATGTGTGTGAATGAGAGGTGTACAAATTGTACCGTAGGCTACTGGCCGACAGGTCACTGCGGTTTAAGGACTTATATGTGGAAAAATATTTGAGCATCTCTCCTTTGCAAACACTACATTCATTGATTCCAAGCTTTACCATCTTGTGTATTTAAACACGTTGTGCTTCGCCTTAAACGGAGCTAATAATACATGAGAGGTAATTATGTTAGGAGTGAAAAAGGATGAAGTCATACTCATGTTGGATTAGATTACAAAGTGCAGTGTGCCCTAAAATCTAATTTGGAATCTTATTTTTCTGTTTCAGTGTAGAGCTTGTCAAACTTTGTGATAATTTGAGCATTTGTCATTTGAGCATTTATTTCCAGAAAATGACAACTGGTCAAAATAACAAAAAAAGATGCCATGTTTTCAGACCTTGAATAAGTTTATATTCATTTTTAAACAACACAATACTAATGTTTTAACTTAGAAAGAGTTCAGAAATCAGTATTTGGTGGAATAACCCTGATTTCCAATCACAGTCTTGGCATGCTCCCTTCTGTCACCATTACTGTTTGGCGGCTTTATGCCACTCCTGGCGAAAAAAATCCAAGCAGCTTGACTTAATGGCTGGTGACCTTCCATCTTCCTCTTTGATCACATCCCAAAGTTTTCAATGGGGTTCAGGTCTGGAAATTGGGCTGGCCAAGATAGGGTCTTGATCTGGTGGTCCTTTGTACACCTTGACCACACTTGGCTGTGTGGATTGGAGCATTGTAGAACAATGTCAGAGCAGAACAAAGCAACTCCAGCCACGTACTATTGTCCCACATACTATGCGTCCTTCGGAAAGACGTATCTCCCCAATAGCCTTACTGAACAACCACCAGATCATCACCAGTCCTCCACCAAATTACACAGTGGGTGTGAGAGAGACTATGAGTTGTAGGCATGTCCTGGGCCTCTAACCATTAGAGGACCAGCTGAAAACTGGACTTATCAGAGAAGATCAGAATCTGGCAGATCTGGGGTTTTTTTAAGGTAAAAAACCATGTAGACGGTTATCCTGGAAGAAAACATGCTTCCTTCAGCTCTAAAAATGTCCCCAACTCAAAGGATTGGTTTATCTTACAGGACAATGGTCCAATACGCACAGCCTGGTGAATCAAGGTGTGGATGGAGGACCACTCAAGTCCCTCTTATGGTCAGCCTAATCTCCAGACCCCCATTGAAAACCTCTGGAATGTGATCAAGAGGAAGATTGATGGTCACCAGCTGTAAGAGCTATTGATAATATGATGAAACATATTATTATTAATAATATTAATTTAAAAACTGAAAAGAAAATTCTAAACAACGTCAGTGTAACTGTGTAGTTTTCTCATTGGCTGGTTATGTTGTTGGAAAGAATCATTGTTATGGTCTCACCTTTTTGTAGAAGTGCATTTAATGGGTTGTTGTTAGTCTTATGTTAGATCATACAATTGGTGTAACAATTGCTACAGGTACTTTAATAAATGGTATCATTTGTATGTTCATCTACTGTTGTGTTTATATATAATATATATGCTATAATAAAGCTCATCTGACAGACATAACTGCATGTCTTGCCTAAAACTGAAATTTGATAAGACTCTTTATTGCCCTGTTAGCTGTATTAAAACTGGGAATGCAGTCAGCTTGAAAACCTGTCTTACCTTTCTTTGGTGAGGATCTTCTTTCCATTTTATGTGGAGATGTTTGTACATGAAAGGCTGTCTTCATTTGCAATACTTTTTGAGTCTTGCTTCCCATACCCATTTCTGACCTGGCTTCCATTATGTTTGTCCTGCTGTGATGTACATCTTTCTTCTGGATTGTGTTGTTGTCCCTGATGAGTTCAGAGACAGGTCTGTATCTGGACACTTCGTTTTCTTCTGAAGCAGAAGAATCACTGCTTGGAATTCTACAGGCGGCGTTAGGATATTTGATTGGGATTGCAGTGGGTTTAGAGTCTTCTTCATTCTCAATGTCCATCATGTTTTCAGAGTCACGTCTATCATATTTTAAAGGATGTTCCATATTTTCCAAAACTGAGTCTTTGCTTGCTTGTATCTTTTTCGTGTCTGTTTTAGCAAATGGATTTTGAGGCTTCTTTGGTACAGGTGGCGGTGGGCCCTTTATTTTTGCTCTTTTTTTTAATAAGGGTCTCAGCTGAGACATATCCATTTCATTTAGTTCTCTATCATCGACAGTTTCTATCAAGTTATCGCAGTCAGGTGCAACAATTTCAACGTGTGGGGCTAAATAATATCTTGGAATATCAGCAGCCTCAGGCTCTATGGACATGCACATGTAGGATGGGGGCTCAACATAATAAGGCAGCATATCAAGACATGATGCATGTGCATTAAAATCCTGCAGTGCCTCCTGCCTTCTGCCCATTTTGATATTTTTCAGCAGCAGGTGCAAATATTTGCTCGGCTCGTCTATTGAATGAGAAGCAGATTCCTTGCGGCCAACAGCTTTTTTAAAGGGATTCTTTGGTTTCTTTGGAACAGGTGGTGGTGGTCCTTTGATTTTGGGCTTATTCTCTGTCTGAGCGTCTGTGGGTAAGACATCAGGGATCATGCTCTGTATTTCAGTGTTGGGAACATACATATGAGAGATGTCAGATGACTTCCTCGCCTCCTGATCAGGAAATGTATGAATCTGAAGTGGTGGTGTGATCACAGCCGTGAAATAGAGAGGCTCTTTTTCCCGTTTCAAAGAAGCCATCTGTGTGACTCTTGCGGCGTCACCACCATCAAAATCTGAGTGAGAAAAAGAGTTTAAAATGTCAACAAAAATTTGATCTAAACATTTACTGCTGGAAAACTTCTTGTTGACCCCTGTTTCTGAAGCATCCAGCCTATAGATCTTTGGATCGCAGAATCTTTTGCTCAGATGCACTTCTTGAATTTTACCTTTTTCTCCTGATAATTAAACAAATAAAGGTGAAGTATTGTGCCTTCCATTACGATGACTATCACAATCTTTCCTGCTTTCTATGGATTTCGACTGAACAGCTTTTTGATGATCAGATTTACTGTCTCTTTTCACACATGGTGCATCTGCTCCTCACACTCCCTTTTTGGCTGGGTGAGGCGCATTGCTAACAAGGACTTTTTTAGCACTGGATTCAGTTAAACTCTCAGATGACACGACTGCTGAGTGCTTTTCCATGACAGTGAATGCCCCTTTGTCATCATTTCTCTTCTGAGTGTGAAACAAAGTATTGCTTTGGCTCAAATCAGAATAGAATTGTACTTAATGACTTTTGTTCAGAGTCCTCCTCAATCCTTAATGGAACTAGAACTGAGTTTGCATTTGTGGGTTCAGTAACAATCTTAGAGTTAGAGTTGATTTTTTTCATTCTAGATTTTAATAAACAAAGTTAATCGAAGGGAGTATGCAAGATTTTGTCCTTACCTTCATTTTCACCCCATGCAGGATCTACAGTCTCTTCTTTCCCCCAAAATGGTGTATGGAAAGATGCATTTCTTTTGTCTTTTCTGAAGTTTTCTTTGGGTGTTACTGCAAAATGTGCCTGTGAGGCATCATAAGGTATTCCTTTTAAAATACATGTTGACATATCTGGACTGATATTTTTGTCCTCCTGTAAATTATCCTGCTTATTTGCATTCTGGAGCCACGGGCGACTTGAATGTGATTGGCGGATTGGCGGACACATAGTCACATATGTCTCCAGACATAAAGAATCAGCTTTGTCCAAATCCTCAAATCTGTCTGGATCAGGACTTTCTTTGTGTTGAACATTTCCAGCACTTTCTTTGCAAACTTTTTCACAACCTTTACTAATTTTAGCACTACTTAGTGTCTGAACTTTTTCTTCATCTTTACCCTTTGAAACTCGAAACTCCTGGAATGGCTGTCTTTCAAGTAAATTAGCATTTTCTGATTCCAAAGAGAATTTCTTCTTTATTTCAACGTTACCACCCATCTTTGTCATTGCCTTTGTGTCTAACGTCGCATTGTGTCTGTCCACCAACGTTTGTGTCTCATTCTTCTCTATGCTCACGGCATCATCTGTTGAGTCCACCTGACAAGAACTTTCAAACATGTTTGGAGTATCCGTGAGGTGAGTTTTGTTAGTCATTCCTTCTGTTTTGTCAGGTTGTTGCTGGTCCACAGCAGTAGATATATCTGTGGCGGTTGCGTTGCTCGTGACTGTTTTGAATTCTGAGGCACATGGACCTCCTGCCAGGCTCAGTTGAGGATTTGGTGTCCTGGCATTCTGTGAAAGATCCGTGTCATAACTCTGACTGATCTTTTTTCCTCCCTGGTCGAAAGAGGGCACAGTGTTGTTGTCATCAGGTCTTGTTGGTTCCTGAGGACAGGGCTCTACTATGGAGGTGTCCAAGTCAAAAAAATTCTGGTCTGTTTCTTCTGGGTTGTTGGAATGTGCTTCCTCCTCACTGTGGTTTAGGATCTCATAGTCACTAACGGCATTGGTCAGGACGTCTTCTCTTCCTAGCTCCTTGACCGGTTTCTGTCCCATCACCCCTGTGAAGAACACATATCACCACCCATGAGTTTATGAACAGACCGTATATCTTTATCTATAATGAGCCCCCTCCCATCTCAAGCTCTCTCTTGTTCCTCTCACATCACTTCTTTCAGGAATGTTGCAATGCCTAAAATTAAATGACTCTCAATGGGGCCACTGAGTCAGAGAACCAAAATGGCAACTGGCAGAGTAGATTAGTTACCAGGTGCGAAGGTCACATTAGACATGAAAGGGGAAAACCCATGTACTCCAAACATATCCCATGGCTCTTGACAACAAAACTACTGTTTCCATTTAAGTTGTGAGTTTAGTTTATTTATTTGAATGCATAACAATTAAAATTAATTACGAGTAAATGTGTGTGTGTGTGTGTGTGTGTGTGTATATATAGTGAAATTAATGATTGCTTTCTCAAAATGACCTTCTGAAACTTTTATTGCCCTTCTTGAGTGGTTTGAGTGTAAGAAGTAACCCATACTGCTCAGCTTACTGTAGGGTCACAATGTGTCTCATAGGAAGAATAGTCTAAAGACTTTCAAATATATATGGTTTGTCCTATGCCCTCAGACTTCAAGAAAGCACAATGTTTTACTTAAAAATGATGTCATGCTACAGCATAAATAAGTATATTTGTCATTAGCATATTTTGCGGTGCACAACACAGCTTATGTATGTGGATTTGTCTATATAAACATGAATAAATATGGCTCTACATTATCAGGAAATGTCATCTCATTTTTGTCTCTCAGCATGATGGGATATTTTAAGGGTCCAGCGCTCTGTGTTGACTCTGTCTGAGAATGTCAGCTGTAGAGGTAAATGCTCAACTGGCTGTGCTGCTGAATGAATGGCAAACTTATATTATGGTTGTGTCATTGCTCAGGCACTGCGCGGGTTATTTTGAGGTTGATGGCCTCAGCTTGCAATAGCCCAAGCAGATGGGAAGGGCCATCCATAAAACAAGACTCTTTTCGTTTAGCTTCATTGCCCTACCCAAAACAGTATGTGAATGAATTTACAGGTTGAGCACAATGTTTAATGCTCAAGTAATGTCAACACACACATGCAATAAAAAATGCAAGAGAAAAAAAAATATTTTTTAGTTGTGTTGGATAAAACTTGTTTCATGTTTCATGTTGTAACAGTTATATTTACTTAGGTGTTCTGTTTTGGCTATATGTTTCATTGTGTTTTGGTTCTGTTTTTTATGTTTGACCTAGTTTCCCACCCAGATAGCAAACTGACATTGAATCAACGTGGAAATATGACATCGAAACAACGTTGATCTGACATTGTTTTGCTCATTGAATTAACGTTGAACCAACGTCAGACGCGTCATTCTTTCAAAACTAACGGAAAATCAACTTGAAATCAACGCGTTGTTTCAACGTTATGAAAGCAAACTAATTTTCAATTTTCATTTAGCTTTGAAGAATGCCGCGTCTGACGTTGGTTCAACGTTAATTCGATAAGCAAAATCAACGTTGTTTCAATGTCATGAGAGACGTCGTTTCCACGTTGATTCAATGTCAGTTTGCTATCTGGGCAGTGTGTTTGATTTATAATCCCCTTCACAACCCGCTACAATACAGGGCTCGCACAAATAAAATCGACCCATGTCGATTGTGCATTAAATGTAGTGAATGTGCCCACAACCCAGTGCCCACAAACACTACATCAGCGAGCGCCAGGAAGTCTTTTCCTAATGAAATTCATTGACACTTTCATAGCGAATGTGAGTTAAAGCAAAAACACACATAAAACCAACGATGAGCCAGCTTCACAGACGGTATCATAGCAAAACCTTCTCCCTTTCCGGCAAGAAGGAACGTTGTGTACACCACACACACACACACACACACACACACACACACACACACACAGCCAGGAGTTCAAGCCTCAAAGAGATCACTCACTCCACAACGCACACACATAAACAGACATTCCTTCATTGAAATCTGTAATTCTGTAATCCTTCATTGAAATCTGTAACTAATTCTGAAAAAAAACTATATATTAGGATAATATTAATATATTATCCAATGGAACACACACGACACGAGGACACCCCACACGCACAGCCTTGTTTGGTGTAGAGTTACAATCAAGCTATTTAAAGACATGAAGAAATTTTATTAAATGGATACTCCACCGTTTTTTCATATTAAACTATTATTCCCTTAACTAAGACGAGTTGATACATACTGTAACTCTCTTGTCTCAGTGCGTGCACTAAATCGCTCTGTCTTGTGGCGAAACTTTGATAGCACTTAGCTTAGCCCAGTTCATTTATTAGGATCGAAGCGACCAAAAACCTCCACGTTTTCCCTATTTAAATGCAGTTACATGAGTAGTGTAACTCTATCAAGAATGGTGACAAAATAAAACATTGCGCTTTTCTAAGTGTGTAACTATAATGTACGGCGTAATACCATAGCAAGTGCTTGGGAGTACTTGTATATCTATGGATTCGGCGCAGAAATATGATATCTTCACTCCAGAGAGGGAGAGGGGGAAAAGGATTTTTTAGGAGTGATGATATTACTGCGCCGAGTCGAAGTGCTCCCAACCACTTGCTATGGTATTTCGCCATACAACTGTAGTAAATAATAGAACTGACAGTAACTCAGTGGGCCCAGTGCGTCATCAAGTAGGGCCGTGTCCAGGAGCTCAGGGACTCCAGTGCATCATGGAGCCTCCGCTATAGCCCCGCCCATAAAATCCTGAACTTAGCAATGCTAAAACTGTGAAAAACGGTCTAACTCCACAATACAGTACTTCACAGTTCACAGTCTTTGTAATATGTTGTAATACATTTCTAACATTTATATTGTGCCTTTACAGGGACTTTAAGGGAATAACATCGTTTATTATAAAAAAAACTGTGGAGTATACCTTCAAGAAAAAATGCTTAAATATGTAATTTTGGTGATGAAAGACTGGTTGTCTTTGAGCTTTTAAGACACTTATTGGAATTGCTCACCCGCTATTCAAATGACAACTATCAGTAACTTTCCTTATTCAATAACTGTCTTTATTATCTATGCAAAACAATGAACAAGGTGACAAGGTTCAATGAATACAGAGACTAATTGTAGGCCTATTTTTAAATCATAAAAAGTCAGTTTCACATTTAAATTTATCTTTATAAATAGTTTTTTTCCCCAAGATGACAGTTCTTCCCCAGACAAGTAATTCACAAATACGTTTACATTTATGTATGTCTGCCCAGATTGATTACAATACAGCAGAAATCACATGACTGGCAAATGCAAATGTAACATGACTTAACATAAGCAAAAGAAATACAGCTGACAACCTCACCGTGTTCATGTATTCCTAAGGAGAAAAATCCTCACCAATGATGCAGATACGTCTTTGGATCTAGACTGCTCTAGGCTGGTCTTGTGATGTCAAAATCACATTTGCCTAATTAAATAAGATTTCCCTCTGTGAGGCACTCAAAGGTCAGACAAAGCAGCACTTTTTCTACATTAATGTGTAATTTAATTTACTGTCATTTTTTAGAAAATGCCCTCATACTAAGAAGTTCATTATTATTATACATTTTTAAAAAAAAATAATTATCAACATGTCTCTCTCTCCTTATGAGGAACTCAAGGCTGTAAATAAATGCAATACTGGTCCATTTCTGATGCAGACAATAAACAATTTATTAACTGAACATTACATTTTAAAACATAGTGCAACACAACTTAAAATGGTCAAAATTAAGTACAATATCTGATGTATGTTCCCAGTCTCTTTTAAGAGCCGTTAAGTTAGGGCTAAAGGCAATCTTACAGTTTGTCCAGTTGATTTTATTATTAGCTTAGTGTGTTCAAACATGTCAAAACATGACAATAAATAAATGACTTTGGTCTCTTCTATTCAAATATGAAATGTAGTATCAAAATGAAAAGACAAACAAGCCCAAAAATAAGCCACAAATAAACGTTGCACTATAAAGACCGCAACCAGGTGAAGACAAAACCTCTGTGAAACAAGCGGTTTGTACCGAAGAACTGTTTGATTGCAAATGGCAACAGGTAAGGCACTTGCATGTCTGAAGAAATGAAATGTCTTGTACTCAGATCAGCAGCAGCTGGGAGGAGGTATGAGCCATGAGCGGAAAACAAAACTACAACTTTAGTCTTTTATGGGAGGCCATCCTTTTTGGCAATCGTAATAATTTTGATTTGCAGTAATGCCTCCCGAAACCTATACAGTTTGAAATTGGAATGTCCTCATTAAAATACGGGTGAAATGTGGACCATATGGGAAAAAAAGCTTTCACTCAAAACTCACTTAAGGTGCTTTTCTCTCGCATCTGATTTCCGTTCTTCTAAATGAAAACTAGTTACTAAATAAAAATTATTCTCATTAAATTCTTGCTTACACTTATTGCACAGGCCACTTTGCATATTTAAATTTTTTTCCACAAAAAAGTGAGAAAAAAGCTTAATAGACAACAAAGATAAATAACAGTTTAAATGACAATTATTAAATTACATATATATGAAAAAAAAATAAGGTCAAGTTTAACCAATACAAACCTACTAGTTATGCCAGTGAATTTATCAAACTTTGTGTTACACATATCAGACACCATCATGGTAGTAAAGTCCCTATGGCCACAATATCATAAGATAATGCACTGTTCGTACCTGTGAATACTTAACGCACTTTACTGTTATTTTCAGATGCCATGATGTCATTTTGTATAGGAGACACTTTAAAAGGACCTTTTAAAGGACGATAGTGACACATTTGAACATCCTCCGATCAACTTGTATCAAACTGTATTGTACTAATGTGTTGCTGCTAAAGCCTTTTTGCACATCACAGGCTACAATTTGTACAATAAACAGCTTAAGCTAAATTACATAACAGGAGCTATGCCCTTGTAGCATATTTCAGATGTAGTTGATCTGATAAACACCAGCTGAGAAGCAAATTAGAGAATTGTAAGACGAATAGCCAACGACATTCATGTTGCATTCTTCTCTGGAAATAGACAATAATTATATGGCTTTGTTGATGTCATTTTTGCAAACGGCAACATTTAAGGATCAGGTTGGAATGACACAGTGACATTCACAAATTTCAGACTAAACTTTCCATTTTGACGACAATTTTTTCACAAAGGTTTGTGCTGCTTTTAAAGACAAAAGCTCAAGTGAACAACAAAGTTTAAAATATTCATTACGTTGGGCAAAATTTTGTATCTTGTTTTAATAAAGCCATTGCTAAAATGTTATCATGGTCATGCATCAGTATCTACATCTGAAAATTTCTTACTCGTAAATAATCATCTCAATTGGCTTATCTGCAATAGCCCATACATTTGCTGGTGGTCAAACTGGGAGGCAAAATTTCATCAATATTGTTGTTGGAAATAATACCTACTAGTTGGCATTAAAATGGGCTTAAATTATTATTTTTTATTTAACCAGGTCTTTATTATGCCACCTGTAGACCTATAATAGGTTGGGCTTCCTTTAGCAAGACAAAGAAATGCAATATCAACAAAGCCGTTAATGAATGTCCAAGCCAGAGCATGCTTTAATATATATCTTAGTTAAAGCAGACAGACACATGAAGAATGCAGTGCAGTTATGTAAAGGGCTGCTGGAAGGATGTCCAAGCCTGGCCTGATTGTTCTCATGAGGAGTCTTGCAGCTTCAGCCTCCACGGTTGCTTTCAATGGCTGTGGGACTGGAGCAGTCCCATTCACTGAGAAAGCAGTTCTGACATCGCTGAGTCAGCTTTTCAAACTCTGCAACAGAGTTGGAGTTAAAGAGAGCTTGGGAGAGCAAGAGGTTTCCCAGCAAAGTGAAGGCTCTTGCTCCTCATAGTCAATTGAGACTGTGGCAGAAAGCGTGAGGTCCTCTGTGGAAATGGCCAAGTCACCTAGCTTTGCCAGCGAATTAGACCTTTTAAGTTGGGAGGACACGGTCAGTCCGGCGAGCCGAACACGGGTCTCAATCTCTTGGGCTCTCTGGCGTACCAAGCCCGGCTGGCCTCTCCGAATTCTCTGAAGACTGTCGCTGCTGGAGCTGCGCATCAGGGATGAGCCCGGTGCAAGTGTTCTCTGGAATTCACTGGAGCCAGGGGGCAAGTTGTGAAAGCTCCCCTCATCCACTTCCATGTCCTCCATGGCAGTGTCCTCTACACTCAAGTCCATCTGTTCTGACTGAGGACCGGACAGTTGCGCCAGTCTATGGTGCACCAGCTGTGTCTCCGGCTGGGCCCCCTGACTGAGCTCCGCCATAGGCCTCTCACCACCCAGACTCAGCCTCAGGAGAGTGAGCTCGGTCACAGTACTGCTGAAGCTCCCCTCGTCCTCCCCCTCCATTTTGTCCTCAGTCTCCAAGGAAAAACGCAAATCCTGAGGAAGGTCTTCGCACCTTGGTTGCTTGAGGTAAGTGTCCGAGTTGGACCGACTGGAGCAATGGCAGTGCCCGCTGCTCAAGTGATGCCGAGAGGCAGGAGGAGGCACCTTTTTGTCGGAGGCGGGACTGAATTTGTGTCCTCCGGGGGCCTTGATGGAGAGACTGGGAAGGCCAGCATGACGTGGCAGGTTAAGGCGATGGGTGCGACGTTCGCAGCGGCGGCTGCTGGGCAGGCGCAGGCAGTCTCGGCACGACTGATATGAGGGCTTCACTTTGTAGGGGTTTCCAATGCTAGCACTGTCCTAAACCGATGAATACACACAGGCAGGGAGAATGCATGGTTAGGTTTTTTAAAGGTGTAAGAGTACGGGATGCTTTAGAGAAAGTAAAGCGTTTAGGATGGATTCACAGAAAATAGCTCTTTGAGCTATAAGCTTGCATACAAGCCAGGAGAGCTGCCGCTACAGCTAAGACGTCATACTCACGTCAAAGCCAGAAGGGCAGCTGCGTTTCCCGGCCAGCCTGTTGCTGTTGTTGGCGTTCTCGTTGTTAAAGCGGTTCGAGCTAGCCAGGCTCCCGTCTTCCCTCTGCGTCTCCTCACCACGAGCTAAGGCAGCCATCTCTGCCTCCTCCTTTTGTGCTTCCTCCTCATCCTCCTCCTCCACCGTGCTGAACTCCAGCCGCATGCGCATGTCCTCCAAGGGCTCCAGTCGGCCGCAGGTCTGGGCTGCTGTCCCCTCCCCAGGAAGGGCCAAGTGAGCCATGGGGAAACCCTCATCGTCCAACAACGCATCCCTCTCCACGTCCTCAATCTCAATAAAGACACGTTCCATGCCTAAAAGCGGAGGACCTCGAACTGGCGTGGAGGGTTCGCTGTCCAGAGCAGTGTCCGAGAGTCGCCGGAAGTAGTAGTTGTAATTCAGATGGTCTGTTGGCTCTTCTCCGCAGCAGGAGGAAGCACTTGCTCCTCCGTGGCCCCAAGCCATCTCCACCTGATCAGGGTGTAGTGACGAAATTTGTGGAGTCTGGTCATCACTGGCAGCTGAAGCCTGAAGGCCCTCCAGCGAATACTCATCACCATCTGGTTGCCAGAGTTTGTTGTGTCTCTGCTTGCTACAATGACAGAAAACAAAGGTAGCAGTCACCTCTTGACAGTGTGAAAAGAGAAAACACAACCAAAGAAATCTCACAAAACAAAAAAGCTAAAGGTTTTGGTCCTTTTATTTCATGGTCACCAGTAACTGTGTAGGATGTTTGTGTCCCCACCAGGCTACTTAAACAAGTCTTTGTTGTTCAATCAGCTTTGACCAGAAAGACCAAGCTGGTTGACTGGCTTCACCAGCATGGAAATTCAGGCTGTTCTAAAGTTGGTCTTTTTCACATTATTCAATAATCAACAAACATACATACTAAAAAGTAAGATGCTCTGAATAAAATGTGTATGCTAAATTAATAAATATAAATGCAAAAAATTATGATGTTAAAAAGAACATGTTTCTCATTATCTTGGCTTTTCCTACCTGGCATCTAAAATCCCCTCGTACTCAGCCAGTTGTTTCATAAAAGCTGGATTGGGTTGTGCTATATTCCTTTTCTGTTTAACAAAACTGTGTGCCTTTTCAAGTGACCATCCATACTCCTTCATAGCATAAGCAATGACAGTGGATGCAGAGCGACTCACTCCCATCTTGCAATGTACTAGGCATTTAGAGTTGTTTTTCCTATATGAAAGACGCACAGGCATCCAAGTCATAAAAGGGACCTTTATTGAGTGAAACATCACGACAGGAACAATAACACACTTTTCCAATATCTTTTTAACCATTAAAAGTAACTCACTTGGCTCTAACTATGAAGTTGTAGGTTTCGTTCCAGTGCGCCAGCAGATCTGTAGTCTCATCATCATAAACACGGATGTTACAATAACAAAAGGTACCTGGGAAAAAGTTGTCAATCTCTCTTGTGACATTGAGGATATACCCCACCCTGCATAAAAATAAAACAAAGTTAGACTGTATACTGCAGATTTGTGTTAAATACACGCATACTGTAATCTTTAACGACACACAGTAGGTCGATATATATCAGCACTAACCCAGAGTCTTGAAGCTCCTCCAAGTTGGATGCGTTCCATTCTGAGCCCTGAAATTAATGACATGCACAACAACAATAGCTTTATTAGCTACTAGAGTCTTAAAGCTCCTGTCGATAACCATCATTTTGTTGTGCACTTAAGGGGTTCTTGTTTTCAGTGAATGTGACAAAGACTGATCAAGTTGAGTGTTAATACATGGCAATTAAATGAATTCATTTCTAAATGATTGTTTAAAAACTAAGTAAAAATAAAATAAAAAGTTGCAATGCATCAGTGAATGCAGGTTGTCCCATCAGTAAACTAGCAGTATGTGCTAGCGCTGCTTTTTAGGTAAGCAAAAATCTTAACCAAACAAGAATCAAGCATGGCAGGGAAATCTTGGAGGAAGCTTTACCAGGTACAGATGGTCAAATATGAGCGTAGCCTTGTCCATCTGGCCGAGGATAAGCAGCATCTCATTGTCAATAAACTCTTTATACTCCCTCAGGTTGCAACTCATATGTTGTTCCAGCTCATTTCGGATCTACGGAAGTGAAAGGATTCAATTTAATGCTCCTTCTATGGCTGAATCATTTATGTAAAGCATGGCATAAAACCCTAATTACATATACCTCCTTAGAAGTAATATTTTCCAGGTCCTGAAACATCATTATGTTTCGGAGTTTGGCTTTGATCATACATTCTGTTCTCTCTCTCTCTGTTGGCCTGTTTATAATATGACAAGCAATGTCAATATATGTGAATTAATAAAGATTTTAGTCCCATATAAGAGTATCCAATCTTATAATCAGTTTATCAATCTGTTGTTGCATTTATGTAGCTTTGAAGATTCATCATAGAATTTTTATTTTATCCAATGTCATATTACTCACTGATCAGAAAACATGACTGGGGAGTCAGGCCGGGTGGTCTCTAGATCTGTCATGGCATTCCACTCATTGATACAGCTTTGCTCTGAAGAGATGCAGCTCTCATAATAGCCAACCCATGTAAGGGCCATCCCTCCAGGGAAATAGTTGTATCTACGGGACACCTCACATGCTTTGTGCAACATCTGGAGGGCAGACCTGCAATATACAATAAGTCAAATATAATAAATTCACAAAGTGTGTAAGAATAATACAAAAAACATGTTATAAACACACTACAAGAGGTTATGTAATAGTTTGTATATTTAACTTTGAAATCTCTTTCCAGCATAAAACAACAAATAAAAAACAAGCCAACGTACCACATGGCCTGGACTGACACTGGCTTAAAAACATGCAGTCTTCCTGCTGTGCTTACACTGAAACCTCTGGGAGAAGAGAAGAGAGGAGTTCAGGCATGCAAATTATGAGCAATGGCATCATTTGTGATTATATAGAATCCATAAGCAGGCAGCAAGAGGATTTTGCTTTCCCAGGTTGGTCAGTGGAACAATTTTACACCACAAATCAGTGAAAGATTGTCTCTGCAAAGTGCCTCTGCCAATATCCCCAGGTCTTTCTTTATTTATTTTGAACAAAAAATAAAATAAAATATATGTGTGTTGCAACATACCGAATATGTAATGTTATAAAATCCATAGTGTTATAAACAATAATTGCAATATGTCCGAAAAGGAGCGGTATGAAGCAGAAGCATGTTATTTTTCCCACCCCTTGTACAAACTCTAAATATCACATGCACCAAGACCATAAACATGTTATTTCATACTGAACCTGTAGAGGTCATTCTTTGTACACATAACATATAGGGTGATTTTAATTTGGCCAAACATAAACAGGCTGACTAATGGCAAATTCATATTATTTTAATGTGTATGGTATGTGTGAGCAATCAATTAAACAAAAAAAATTCTTCCATACTCCTGCAACTTAGGGGGTTAGGGGGACTTGGATCTGGATGAAGGCAGATCTGAATGCGAGCTTGATGAGGTTTTATGAGGACAAAATTATAGAAGAAGTCCAGCATTTGTCACCAGAGATACATTTTGATTAAAAATGACTAGCTTAAAAAAAGATTACAAAAAATGAAGCATGCATGAATGATTCATTCACAATAAAATCAATAACATGCATTTTAACCTTTAGTGAACTGGGATACTTACCCATCTCCATCCAAGTGAATCTTGGTATCACTCCAAAGCGGAAGAGTCATCCCAATAGAGCAACTTTTACTGCAACAAACAAACCAATCGGTGTGGTTATGAATAATAATGCAGTGAATGCATAAAGGCTATCAGTTAGCACAACCCGGTTCTTACCTGTCCTTATCTGTGAAATCCATCCCAAGCAGCATGTTTTCTTCCGTGTCTTGACACCCGTTTGTGTAGACAACCACCATGTAGCGCACATGGTCTGTCCATCCACTTTCTAACCTTACAACCTGTTGATAGAGACAGTGTACATTGGTGTACACACGTTAAGAGCAGAAGCCATTCCTACATTGCTCTAGATATAGTGTATGCCACTTACTAATTTAATTCTATCCTCAGAACGGAGGGTGTTTATCATTACTTGTAGGTGCTGTGGTAGATCACCTTAAACAACAACAACAAAACGATCAATAAAAAGAAAAAAACTCAGATAAGTAATAATCTTATGGGAAATAAACCATTATTTTCATCAAGTTGTTTCATCAAGGGAAATGTGTCACACATCCACTTTTACTGTTGTGGTTCAGGGCTATAACCATCATAGGCATTGAGGGAGGCAAGCCCCCCCTAAATTGGCCAATATTTTTCCATGCACTACATTATGCACTACTCTGTTTCTTGTTACAATGAAAAAAACGTTTTAAAAGTTCAAGACATTGTTCTGTTGCTTACAACCTTATTGTGGTTTACCTGCATTTTTATGATGGGTGGGTGTTCTGGGCCCTTGTGCACTGTTCCCTTGTTGTAAAAAGAGAGCTGCCCCTTTTACCATGAAGAAACTTTCACTGAGGCTGAAATAGGCCACACATACATCCAAAATTAAGATTTATTATCATAGTTAAAAAATGATTACTCTAAATAAAATAGCACTGACCTTAGGTTTGCTTTTCGGTCATCATCACTGCCTAAATCCTGACAAATAAAACAGCAAAAGGGTAATTACAAAGGGCCCTGATAGAAAACATACCATATGAAATTACTTTGCATTTATTATCAGCCAATTATGAAGAATGTCTCACACTCACATCATGGTTTGCAGGCCCATACAAAGCTATTAAAAGCCTGACTGATAGGATGGATACAGAAATGCAAGCCCTGAACTTAAGACTTTCAAAATAGTTTGCAGAAACGTTTTACGATCAAGTAAAACACAAGTAAAGAAAAACACAAACACTTGTGATAGACACAATCAAAACTGCAAGCCTAATGATGATGATGAGCATTACTGTTTTGCTATAGTAAGCTAGTTCATTAGTGGGCTGTCTCTAAGAAGCTGCATAGCAAAATCTGGGGGGAGACTGGGACTCATGATTGGTCACCAGGCAGAGTATCTATTCAATGACATCATTGCAGTGAGTGTACTGGGAGTAGTGAGAGGAAGACTCGGTTCTTTCAAACAGTTCGTTTCAAATAACCAATTCAAAAAACGATTCAGCTATTCTATTAAGTCATAGTGTAATTGCGTTAATTATTACGTTTTTATGCAATAGTTCAGGGAAGTGGGAACCATTATTTAGCCAACAGAGTCATTTAGAACCGAATATATTTTGCATTCACATTGAAATTTCTTGGCTGAAAATGCGTTTGAAGGAATTATTATCTATTAAAGGCCACTCCATATGTGCTGATAATAAAACCCACACAAAGTCGTTAACATTCTAGTATGTTTTATTTCTAAGATTTCTACTATTCGGTAAATAAAGTAATATAATTTTGCGCTATATTATTCAAAGTCAAAATGCAGTATCTATTAGATTACTATTCACGAATCGCATATGCCCGAATAGAGATCTAAAATAAATTCAATGAGCCGTCGGTTGACTCGAACAATTCAGACCGATTCAGTCCGTTTCGAATTTGTTCAGTCTGATTCGTGAATGAATCGTTCAGGCAGGAAAGGAGTCGACTCAATGAACAATTTGTTCACAAACAAGGCAAACGCTCAATTGGTAGTCCAGTAGGCGATCAAATAATAAGAAAGTGTTCTAAAGCATATTTGTGGTATGGCTGAATCGACCTATTACGTTAAACAACGTAAGTTTATTACTGTAATCCGCAACACAAATTAGATTAGGCTACATTATTGAATGTAATGGTATACACCAAGCCGCCTACGGCCACTAAAGGAAAATAATTAGACTACCAGAAATATGAACCAACTGCACCGTTTTTGTTTGTTTTGTTTTGACCATTTCAACAATATATAAACAAAATCAGCATTGACATGCTTTATTTTGTTTGGGCAAGTCAAGTTAATCCCCATCATCACGCCACGCGCCCGCGCTCTGATACACTGCCTGAGAACACCTCCTCCACGCTATGTCAAAACTTCACCATGCGCTTATCACCTACACAGCAGGTTGAACTCGGTGACTTCTTGTAGTATCAAATTTACACATCGTTAGAAAGGAAAACTGATCCCAGAGCAAAAATGCCAGGCGAACATTAGCTGTTAGGCGCTATTTACACATGCATCCCCGGTATTTCGTCCGCCGGTCAGCCTCCACTCACTCACCTCCCCCGCGTTGGTGCTGGCTGAGGATGCCGCGCTGGGTGTAGGGGAGCGCTGCAGAGTCACCAGAGCCATGGCTGAGCTGCAAAGCCTTCAGCGAAACCTCACAGGCGCTCCGGTCCGACTCCGAAGAGGACACGCCGAGATGTCCTGCTCTGATTGTGCGCCCGCCAGTGACGGGGTTAATGCATTCAGAGGCTCATTAAATCTATTTAGCGGAGCGATACACCCATCATCATCGGCTTTGTCATCCACCTCGACGATTCTGCAAATTCTCATTCACGCCAACGATGCTAATAAACAACGGTCTGTGCTCTATCTTCGCGGCTGGACCGTTGATTTAGTGACAAGACATAATGGACCTTGTTTCGGTACCGCCGTCCGTGGTTGGTGTAGTTCTGTGATCGTCTGTGTTAGATATGGGCTTCTGGGCCAACCGCGTGAAGGTGACTTGCACTTCTCCCTGACAACAGTGCATCCTATGCAGACTCATCACCCAATCATCCACATACTACCAGAACCCTCATGATGTAGACTATCTCAAAGCTAACGTAATGCTTGGTCGCTAGATTTTTCCTTCCTCCCTATGACGAAGAGAAAGGTGTATGGTTCAGCAACCAAAACTGAAGCTGTGTGTTTTTTAATGCACATTCAACATCTGGTTATGATGGAAAATTAAAAAAAATAAAAGCTCTCCACTGAAATGTTGTCATGATGTTTAAGCAGATAGGCTATACACATTTAAATTTATTTTCAATTAATTTGGGGCGGGCTTATTCTAGCAACTCCAGCTAGTTTTCTAATCCTAGAAAATCACCAAAAAATATTGATGACTCATTTGTTCAATCAAATTCTCTTTAGAACAAGAATATCCCTCCCCCCTGGTTAATGGCTGTCACAATTGAAGTCTATTTGTGTATAGAAACTAAAAATAAATAAATAAATATTGCGGAAATGTCAAAGACATGACAAACCAATATTAATACGATCCACCTTTATGCTAAAAGTAGACAGTAGGTGTGCATTAGAGTCTATTGGAAAAATATCAAAGCACAGAAATCTACACTTATCACACCATTTCATTGGATCTTTTAGTTACACAAGTATTGGCATCAAAAACATGTACCAAAAGAAAAAAGCTGAGAAACACAGGTTCTCTGATGAATTTTTCAGTGCATATAGATTCAGTATACCAGCATGGCCTGATTATACATGTTTTTCTTTACTACTTTTCCTGACGTCAAACGGTTTCAGCTTTCCATGAGCTGGAGACGTGTTGCTGAAAGTCTTGGCTGTCTCAGAACAATGTGGCCTTATGAGTTTTTCTTCCATGGTGTTTTGAATTGACTCCTGTACTCCACCCGGGTTGTTTCCATTGTTTCCAGGATGCTACTGTGCCCAGCAAGCAACATATTAAATACGCAGAGAGAGTCAGGTAAACTGATGTTTTCAGAAGTACCAAAGGGGGGAACAGAAACAAACATGCATCAATACATGTTCAATAAACTTTTATTCTTCTAGGAATTTTGTATGAATGACCTGAGCAATAAATGGAGTGACGAGAGCTCCAATACGAGCCATCCCACTGCTTGTACCGATACCAGCCCTGGTTGCGGTGGGGAAAACCTGAAATGGCTGAATGAAAATTCTACTGGGATTGACTAAGCACAATAAGCCGCTTTGCAATTAAGCTTTACCTCAGGTGTATAAACACACGCAACCTGCCAGCTGTTATTCAGGCTCGAGCAATGAAAATAAAGACTGTGAGAAGTGTCCTGGAAATAGTACAGGAAAAACATGTCATTTACAGTGCTGAAAAATATTTAGGCAGTTTTTTATTTTTATTTTAAATACAAAGATTATTTGCGATGCTTTTCGGTGTCTGTACAGCTTTTTTGATGATTTGACGAATGTACCTTTGTAGGCATACAGTGGCAAGATACACAGAGAGAATGCTAAAAAGAAAAGTGCCCAGCCTATTCGATCAATCATCCACATGGAGATCAGAATACATATTCTAACATCAAGACATAAATCACACAGTTTTCTATTAGTTGTATGTGGCTTGTATAACAATGTTTGCATTTAGGTTGATTAACTAAAAAACAACACTTGAGAGGGAAGAATGCATGTGGTGCCACGTCACCTGGGAATTCTGCAAAGGTGGTCCACAGAAGGTCCTTATAATCATGAAAAGTCATGAAAAGATATTTGTACTCCAAATTGCACTGAGGTCCCATACTTGAGTTGTCAGTGACTGGAATTAGACACAGTTTTACTGACATTCACAATACACACATAATTAAATGTGAGTAGTAAAGAAAAGTAGTAAAGATAGAGCAGTGACTTTTACTGACATTCACAATACACACATAATTAAATGTGCATATGCACACAATCAGCATTCAAAGTGTAGAATTAATACATTATAGAATTTCAGGCACCTGTACATGAGCCTTGTGTCAAGTAACAGTTTAAAACATTGTTACAGCCATACATACACAGCAGGAGGCAGCAAAGATAACAAGAGGAAAAGTGGAGAAAGCTAGCAGCCAATGTGGGCATGAACATCATAGCCAATAACACTTCAAACACCTATCATGAAAGCAGATTAATTCATGTTTTTAATTATCAAGATCATCATAAGAACATACTTTGGTAATTCTCATTATGAGAGAAAAAAATGTTACTGTATATTTAATAATAACCTACAAAACATCACCTCAATCAGTTACAACATTAACCGCATCTAACTGAGAGCAGTTAAATTTACAATAATTTCATACTAAAAATGCAATAGCTGAATAAACAGTGGTCTTAATTACCCCTAAAAGGATTATGGACATCCCTTAGGACATGAAGTATTATTAAAAACGTAAAACCTGGCAAAAAAGAATTGTCCCTTTAGGCTATTTTAAAGACAATTATGTAAACTCCAAAAAAGCTTTATCTTCTGTGGAAAGGGTTTAAAGTTTAAACAATGTTTTCTATTATGTAAATGATTTTCAAACCTTCTATTCATCAACAAATTCTGAAAAAATGTATCAAGGCTTCCCCAAAAATATTAAGCAGCACAACTGTTTTCAACATTGATAATAATGAAATGTTTCTCGAGCAACAAATCAGCATATTACGATTTGAAGATTACAATATTAAGATTGAAAACAATGGCTGCTGAAAATTCAGTTTTGCCTTTACAGGAATAAATTGTATATTTCAATATTACTCCTTTTTACTGTATTTTTTGATCAAATAAAAAAAAAAGACTTTTGAAGAATTTTTGAAGAATTTTATTTTAAAAATGTACAGAAAAACAACACAACAATTATTCTAGATCAACAGAGATATATAATATTACTTACATCAGTTTACCATAAGTTAGCTAACAACGTGGTGGTCTTGGTCACGTAAGCTAACGCTGCAATTAACCTATCTTCCAATAAACATTTACTAGAACATAGTGGCTACATAACATATAACTACAGACTAGATTCACGAGAGGTTGGCTAATGTGTTAAAAGTGAAAAAAATTGATTAATTTAATTAATTTACCAGCGAACGTACTTCGGAAGCACTGAAAATGAATGGGGTTACTTCCGCAGTTCCTATGGCGGTCTATGGGAGTGTCGAAACTCTCTCTCTCCATGGCTCTGGCTCTGGGCATTCGTAAAGCACGCCTCAAATACGAAAAAATTTACGTGGTGCCTTCCGAGACCCTGACGTTAACCAGGATCACAGACTGTTACACAGTATTAGTATGGTGTTCCTAATAATCCTTTAGGTGAGTGTATATTCCTGTAATGACCCTACATTAGTTAATTCAATATATAAATTAAAAACAGGCAGCCTTGACATAATTAAAGTAGAGATACTCAAAATATTTAGCATATGGGAGCATAATGTCTTGTACAATGGGAGACCTTCAAGTCAAAAAGGTTGAAGAGTCTGTGGTAAAGTAAAAAAAAAGAAAAAAAAAGAAATAAGAGTAGGCTACCAAGAGAGATCTCACTTTTGGTTAAAAATGTTAATTTTTTTGAATAAATCAAACGGTAGCCTAATATCACTAGGTATGTCATTTTAGTCACATTTAAACACAACATGTCCAAGATCATGTGACCTGTCATGTCTATTTTCAGCTAACAGTAGCTAACTGTCATGGTTTAGGAAACACGGTTTAGGTTTGAAGTTTCGCTTTCAGTTTTGCAAATGGCAGAGAGAACATGAATTTGCATGAAATGGCAGCATAACAGTGATGCAGCAGTATTTAAAAAACGCCAACAGTGCACTGCATACATCTTACTTTGGGCATGTCAAAAGGTAGGTTATGTTTCTGAGAAAGTCCAACAAGCTCTGTATTTAAATTACTGAGTCAGGTAGGCCTAATTAGTGTAAAAAAATTATGTATTACTTTTATGGATTTCCTAGGTCTTTATTTTGGCAGACCATATCTACAGTCCTTTCATAAAGACTGCTATACTGAGTATGTGCTACTCCTGTTGTGTTTTCCCCTGTGAATGATACAGCATCCTGCAGAAAGCAAGTTAGTGGCGAGAACATGCAGCTGAGTGAGGAGCAGCTGCATCAGATAGAGCAAAACAGACGCGCCGCACTGGAACGACTGGCCAGACGAAATGTACCTGTACCTGTTGGTGAAAGCTGGCGAAGACAAATTGGGACTGAATTTGCAAAACCTTATTTTACGAAAGTAAGTGATCCGATCCGCGGTGTGAGACATTGTCAAAATTACAGTAAGAAGAGAAAGTAAAAAAAAGACTTGTTCCTGTTTTGTTCTTTTTTCCAGCTAATGTCTTTTGTTACAATGGAGAGGAAATGCTTTACTGTCTATCCCAGCCCTGAGCAGGTGTTTTACTGGACAACTTTGTCTGCAATTGAAGATGTAAGTTCCTTAATATATGGAAAGGGAGAGGTATAAAAGATAAGTGCTTTATAGTGAAATTTCAATATGGTTGTGTTTGTGTTGACAGGTAAAAGTGGTAATTCTTGGGCAAGATCCCTATCACCATCCAGGTCAAGCTCATGGTTTGGGCTTCAGTGTGCTCAGGCCTAAACCTCCTCCTCCAAGGTACAACATTGTACTGAACTGTGAAAATACCCAAAATTAAATCTTAGGCAATTCATACAGAATGTGTTTTTGTATTGTGTTTCATGAGTGATATGCTGAAAAAGAGGCAAGACATGCAAATATCAAACACGTCTGTCTTTATATTAAAAACAAACAATAGAAAAGTAGCACAGTGGAATGGAATAATGTGTTCTGCGAGGACAGCCTCTTGCTGTATTTTTTCTGTATTTTCAAATATGTATTTTCAAAATATGTTTTACAAAAATTCTGTATTTTCAAATATGTTGACTTGCTTCACTTATTGCAGTTTAGAAAACATATTTAAGGAGCTGACAGAAGATATTATTGGTTTCCAGCACCCAGGTCATGGAGATCTCACAGAATGGGCTAAACAGGGTAGGTGATCAACATACACTCCTCCTGTTCAAAAGTTTGGGAGATTTTTGGGAGAAAAAAAAAAAATTTTTTTAAAGTCTTGATACTTTTATTCAGCAGAGATGCATTAAAGCTGCAGTCCGTACCTTTTGGTGCTCTAGTGGTTAATAAACAGAACTGCGTGTCTTGCAGAAGAACATTGTAGTTGTCGGAGTTACTTCTATCTGTTTATGTTTATGACAAGTCATGCAAGTATTACTCCGCAAAAAAAATGGATTCATGATGTACTCGCTCATAAATTCTTAATAAAAAAAGTTATGACCTGCAACTTTAAATTGATCAAAAATGTACATCAATGGCATAACATTTTACATAATGTTATAATGTTTAAAAAATTAATGTTGGGGAATGTAAGGTTTGAATTTAGGTAGGTGAATGCTCATCCACTAGGGGGCTCCGGTAAGAAGCGTGACAAGAAATAGGGAACTCTTTAGGTTTTAATGTTCACACGCAATGACACAAGGTATTGAATGTGTTTTTTCTAGAATAAACAGAATACAAAGACATCAGTGTATGTCTAATAACTTTAAGTTACACAAACATAAACAGAACTCACTATTGACACGTTATTTATATGTATACTGTATATATATATATATATATATATATAAACCAAAGTCACATAGGATTACAGCTGCAACCACATGTGAATCACTGTATATAACTCTCACATTATGATGCTGTGCACAATTCCAACTGGGTATGAATAAATAAACTTACATTCAATCACACACACCTGAGGAAATACCCGAGAAAACGGCTGCTGAAAGTGAAAGTAAACGCAGGAATAATAAAAGGACTTCTTGTATACTCTTATAGAGGGAATTTAGAACAGTTACAACTGTTTTTAACATCGATATTAAGAAGAAATATTTCTTGAGCACCAAATCAGCATATTAGAATAATTTTTGAAGCATCACATGCCACTGAAGACTGGAGTAGTGGCTTCTTAAAAAGTAAGTCTTGCCATCTCATTTTAAAATATATTATTTTATTTTTATTTATTTTATTTTTTTTCGTATTTTTGATTTTATAAATGCAGCCTGGGTGAGTATAACAGCCTTCTTTCAACAACATTTAAAATTCTTACTGATCTCAAACTTTTGAACAGTTGTGAATGAGCATGTTACAAGTTATAGCATCATTTGTAAAGAATGCTAGACCTAACTGATTTGTTAAATTCATTGTAAATCCATTGTCAGGTGTTCTGCTGCTGAATTCAGTGTTGACAGTGAGGGCTCAACAACCCTGCTCTCATGAGGGTCAAGGCTGGGAGCTCTTCACAGATGCTGTGGTCCTTTGGCTCAGCAGGAACCTCAATGGCCTGGTCTTTCTGCTTTGGGGCTTGCATGCTCAAAGAAAAGGCAGAGTGATTGACAGAGTAAGTTCTTGGAGACACAATTATGAAATGTAAATAAACCAGGAAAAAAGTTTTTTTTTTTACTTCTTAAAGACGCTGAATGCTTAAGGGTCACTCCACCCCTGGAAAGATGAATGTGTATTTAAAATGAGTTATTTATGTAGAAGAAATGTGAAATTATTTTTGAATTTGGAGCTCTAGACTGAGAAAGACTGAGAGTATTTTTGACTTATGTGGATGAAAGATAACAATTCCCACAATGCACTTGCTTCTCTGCCCTAGAAGGCCATGCATGACAAGGCAGTAGGTAAACAACAGTCTAAGCAACTAATGATTCTCCGTGATGAGTCTGCCCGAAAATGTGTTTCGAGATCACCCAAAATGTCCGGGATTCAGCTTTTGCGTTCTATAGTCGTCATCCATCATGTTTACTGTGGCGAGCAGGACGAGGCTAGGGCCATGTGGAGAACGACGCGAGGCCGATGGCGTGATTTACGATGAGCGACACCTGTGAGACGTAAGTTATCGGTCTCGTATCTCACATGGAGGAGCGGAAATTTTCTTAGCAATGTTAAAACGCACATCAACCGATCACTTTTTTAGCGTACATGTAAACACTACATTCAGATTCACCAATCAGAATGAATTCAGTTAGATTGAAACAAAAGCTGTGCATGTAAACAATGAAGCTTCCAAAAAAGATGGCTGACAATATGTATAATCCCAATCCTCCATAATGCATCCATCTGGGTATTCAGTACCTTCCTCCATATTTTCAGAAAGTTTCTGCCAGTGAAATCAACGCACTGGCACTGATCTGTGATTGGTCTGTTAGCGTGTTAGGCCCAACCCCCTATGGGTGGGTTTGAAAGGGTGGGATCTAGTGCTTGTAGTCTTTACAGAAATCCCCCCCTCTTACACACAATGACGTAAAATGACGATTTTTGCATCATTGTAGGAGGAAGTTGAAAAGGTAAGTAGCAGATTTCTCTCGTCTCAGGGGAAAATGAGAGAGTGGTGCACGACCATTCAATAGTATAACTGTGTTTCTAACAATGGAAAGCTTAATGCAAATGGGTGGAGTGTCCCTTTACTGTTATACTTGCCATGGTGCAGTTGTGGTTAGGCTTGGGTATCGAGAATCGAGTATCGTTTGGAACCGGGGCTAACTTTTCGTTTTTCCCGGAATCGTTCAAAAGTTAAATTTGCAGGTATACAGTGGCACTGGTCACTGAAAACTGGACCTTTAAAAATTACGAGGCAGTAGTTTAAAGGAATATCTGACTGGCTGTTTTTCCCCCCACAGAAAAGCCATCATGTCCTTGAGACTTCACATCCATCACCATACTCGGCACATTTCGGCTTCTTTGGATGTAGGCACTTTTCTAAAACTAACTTGCTACTTAAAGCAACAGGAAAGAGTCCGATTGATTGGACAGCTCTCTAAAATAATATTGCGCTATTTATTCTTTAAAACTTTTTTTTGTATAACAGAGGGGCTATGGACATTTACTATTCTACATTACAGTTAAATGTGTTGCATTTTATGCTGCAGTTTTGTTGCAAATGGGTCACAACTCCCTGTAGTGAAGTTGACCTTGTAATCATCATGCCAGTTGTTATAAAGCAAATAAAAAATAATTTGGACAATAAATTAATAATGAATGTAGTCATTCATTACATAGTCATATTAGCCAAAAGGAGTGTTATTTTTAATGGACTGAACACATATTTCAGCTTCATATTAAAAAGTAAAAAAAAAAAACCTGTTAGATGGCCTAGACAGATATTTAAACTAAGATGAAAAATATTAAATCAAAATGCTCAGGATGAAATGTGATTTTAAGATATAATTTTGGATAGATAGAAGTAGCAGAAAGAAACATGTAATAGCATTAAACACAATCCTTTTGAAAAACTAATGTATTGCCCAAAAAGTTAGTGATTTTTAGACAACGCAATGCTGATTTTAATAGCTTCTTTTGAATTGTACAAAAAAAAAAATCACAATGTATTGTATATAGATCACACCGTGTAGTCTGTGTAGCGTGTGACACGTGGTTAGCGCGTCTTACTAGCGTAACATTCAATAGGCCAAATGATCAGAAGAAAAGTGCGACTACTGGAGAGAGGAAGACAGCACAACAGGTGAGTGAACAATCAATACAAAGACTTCTTTATGATTCAGTTTGGGTTTTGTATTAAGAGGAAATATACTTTTACATAAAATATGTGGATTACAAAGATAACAAATCAAATATGGTAAATGAAAATATTCACACTCTTGTTTTTTTCCAGATACGTGGACTCAGTTTTGGACAGTATTGAACCAGACTCTCACATATTGATGAAAAACAATAAAAGAAATAAAATAAACCTCTGTGTCAAATTCCTTGTAATACAATACAAGTAAATAACAATGGATAATGCTTCCACACAAAGTATTGCAATCAGTAGTTCAAATACTTCAAAATCAAATCAAATGAACAATCAGTTTGATTCAGTTCACAGAATGAAATTCAGAAATTTCACTTTCAGTTACAAACAAATTACTTTCTCTTTAAACTTAATAGTCTGTCCAATGTGAATCAGAGACTCAAGATTTGACAATTAGATTCGGTTAACCAGAGTTCGTAACTCGGTCGATGGGTTCAGAGAACTGTTGATTCTTTTAGAATGAATCAGAATCACAATCAATGTCTTTTGTTGGAAAATCAAAAGGAAAAATAGAAAGCAAGATGATCTCAATGAGTCCAAGTCCCGTTTGTCCAATAGTAAAAGAAAGAATTCTCCTACCAGCTTGATGGCTCAAAAAACACAGTTCAACAGAAAATATGGTTCCGGTGGCTCGCCATTTACAATCTGCACCTCGTGCGTCCAGCACGAATCAGGGAATCATCACAGGAGAACTTGAATCTCACAAAAAAACCCAGCCTTGTAAAACACAAGGCAGAACAATAATTAATCCACAGTTAAACAATATCATCGTCAAAACACATGTATGCACTTCAATCAACACATTAAACATAACACGTACTTCATTAGCTCATTAGCATTCTCACACGTGCGTCAGCTTTAGCCCATGTGCTATCCACTTCGGCTCGCACAGTCTATATGACACTGTTTTGAATCTCTATCAGATCCGCAGCACATTTTTATATAAATGTCAAGTTAATGCTTGGGTTTTAACTCACCAAGGCGATGAATTTTTATATATTTCCTACAAGGAAGTTAATTTGTGGCACATTGATGTTCCATCCATCTGCATCGATCTGTTTCACTAGCCTCCGTCTCATCCGCGTCTTACTCTGGCATCAGCTCATGAAGGGGTCTTGAAGATCGCTCCGTGTAGCTGCCTCATCTCACTCGCCCGCTAGTACAGATGGGCGGGGCTTAGCGCACTCCCGCACTTCCTCTGCTGCTAGCTCTTAAAGAGCCCATCACCTCATTTGATATGTGATTTCTTTGTTTCTTTCTTACTTATTTTCTGCTTCCATATTATTTTTTTAGTAGCCTGGATTACCCGGGTTACACTCTCCCCGCCTTGAAGATATGCAGGTCCCACTGCATCGTCCGGGCTGTGCAATTACAGCAGAGGGAGATCCAGCTTTTATTCCTTGAGGGGTTTCCCAAAGACAGTCAGACTCCTCCAGTGATGCTGTGAACGCTGTACTGAGTCCCCGCAGTAAAGATTGCATGACCAAGGAAAGGGGATTTCCTAATTGAGGGTACTGTAGCCTTTTTGGTGGCTCATGGAGTCTCTGCGAACGCCTTAGGATACTTTCTCCAGCCTGGTCAACTACTGCCTGATCACTCTGAGGGTTTGCCCGATCGTCTACAATGTCTTGCGGCAGGACATCAGTCCTATTATCCTCCGTGGAGATCTTAGGTGCCGACTCATCTGACTCCTTTCTCTGCTCTACCAGTCCTGGGTCATCTCGAACAGGTAAGTCACTCAACATATCTGCTGGGTCATCTCTAACAGGTAAGTCACTCAACATATCTGCTGTTACGGGATCCATCACCCGCACATCCTCTCTCTCAGGTTCATCCAGTGGAATTCCCTCCCCAGCATCATGTAGGTTAGGCAAGCTTACTTGCAATTTCACTGGAGTAGGTTGCTCAGGGTCTGTATTAATCACAGTTCTCATTTCAGGAGAAGCTTCTGCCGTCTCTCCACCAATTGACTGCTTTTGAGGTCTGGAATTGGAGAGAATTCTGTTTCCAACACTTTGCAAGTGCCTGGGTGCATAATAATCCATACAATCATTTTCTGATTCAGAGTCCTCAGTCACACTTTCGGGATCTTCTGTACCAGGGTTTGCTCGAGTTCTAGGCTTCCGGGGTATCTTTGGTCTTACTGGTTCCTCAGGTGTGTTTTCTCGCAAGTATCCACAGGGTAATAGCAAATCTCGGTGCAATGTGCGAAGCGGCCCATCTTTGCCCTCTGATTGAACGGTATAGACTGGCAAGTCAACGGCTTTCTCGATCACAATGTATACCTCTTTCTCCCACTTATCTGCCAACTTATGCTTTCCCCTCAACTTGACGTTTCTTACCAGGACCCGATCTCCAATTTCAAGGGATGAGGCGACCACTCGCTCGTCGAATCTCCTCTTATTGCGTCTTGCCACTTTTGAGGCGTTCTCACTTGCTACTCTGTAGCTCTCCTGCAAGCGATCTTTCAAATTTTTGACATAACTTGAATGAGATGGGAACGACTTGGCAGGTAAACCGAAGGCCAGATCAACCGGTAGCCGAGGCTGCCTCCCGAACATTAACTCATAAGGTGAGAATCCCGTCGAGTCGTTACGAGTGCAATTGTATGCATGGACTAACGGTTTCACATGGTCTTTCCAACAGGTCTTCCCCTTCTCATCCAGGGTTCCTAGCATCTGGAGCAGCGTCCTGTTAAAGCGCTCAACTGGGTTGCCCCGGGGATGGTAAGGTGTTGTCCTTACTTTACGGATTCCTGCTATTCCACATAGTTCCTTTATCAACTTTGACTCAAAGTCGGGTCCCTGGTCACTGAGGATTTTCTCTGGAAACCCGTAGTGGATGAAGAAGTTATCCCACAGGCATTTGGCCACAGTTTGAGCCTTCTGGTTCCTAGTGGGCATTGCCACGGAATACTTGGTGAAGTGATCAGTTATCACTAAAATATCCTTAATATTGCTGCGATCAGGCTCCAGCGACAAGTAGTCTATGCAGACTAGCTCGAGAGGTCTGCTGGTTGCTATGTTCACCAAGGGTGCGGCACGCTCGGGAAGGGTCTTCCGTCTCACACAACGCTCACAGGCCTTTATCTTCTCCTCCACAGTCATTGCCATCCTTGGCCAGTAAAAACGGGACCTAGCCAGATCCAGAGTCCTTTCAATTCCGAGATGGCCCATGTCGTTGTGCAGGCTTGTCAAGACCGTCTCCCGCAGATCCACAGGTAACGCCAACTGATACAGCACATCTCCTCGATCTTGTCTCCTTCTAAATAACACACCATTCCTGAACTCCAATCTGTTCCACTCTCTCAGCCATAAGGCTATCTTTACAGGTACAAGCTTTCCTTCAGATTTTTGCCCGCATTCAAGGTACTTAATGACTTCTTTGAGTTCTGGATCAGCCCTTTGACGTTCTCTCAACTCTTCTTCAGACATTTGGGAAAGGATCGGAAGGCCGTGGGTATCTTCTTGCTGGAACTCCAGTGGTACTGCATTAGTATTAATACACAGTGACTCAAACACAGTGGGTTGGAAACATGACAAGTCAGGATCATCACAGTTCTGATAGATTTGGTGTCTCTCACAGAGGGCTTTCACTGCTGCTGGGAGAATTGTTGGCTGCTCCGATTCCGCTAAATGGTGAAGAGTGAATTGTTTAATTCTTTCACGCTCTTTTTGGGAGGTAAGGTCATCCACGGGCCTTCCATGAGGACGTCTGGAGAGTCCATCAGCGTCCAAGTTTTGTTTGCCTGCACGATATTGGATCTTGAAATTGAAGGTAGACAGGGCGGACAACCACCTATAACTGGTCGCGTCAAGTTTGGCAGATGTTAGGATGTAGGTGAGCGGGTTGCTGTCTGTTACTACAACAAACTCTCCTCCATACAGATAGTCACTGAATTTTTGAGTGACCGCCCACTTGAGCGCGAGGAACTCCAATTTGTGCGCAGGGTACTTTGTCTCACTTTTGGTTAGGCCCCTGCTCGCAAAAGCAATAACTCTCATTTGACCCTCCTGCTCTTGATATAGGGCAGCCCCAAGTCCTGTTATACTTGCATCAGTGGTCAACACGTACGGAAGTCTGGGATCAGCAAATCCAAGGACTGGCGCTGAAGTCAGGTTCTCTATGATGCTATCAAACGCCTGCTGGCATGCATGGGTCCACCGGTCCCCAAACTGCTCCTTGGGATTCCGGTACTGCACACTTTTCTTTGGGTCTTGCCTTTGGTTTTTCTGCAGAGGGGGATATCCAATGGTAAGGTCATTAAGAGGTCTTATGATCTTAGAGAAGTCTTTAACGAACCTTCGGTAATATCCCGCAAACCCAAGAAAACATTTGAGTTCTTTGAGATTTCTGGGCCTTGGCCAGGTCTTGAGAGCCTCAGTCTTGGCCGGATCCGTCTCGACTCCGTTCTGAGATACTATATGGCCTAGATATCGGACTGACGTCTGAAAGAACTTGCATTTCGTGGGCGAAAGTTTCAGTCCATACTCTCTCAACCGCTTCAATACTTGCAAGAGTCTGGTTTCGTGCTCCTCTAAAGTTTTAGAAAAAACTATGAGGTCGTCAACGAAGACCAACACTTCCCTCCTGTTAAGATCGCCCATGCACCGCTCCATTAGTCTTTGAAATGAGCTCGGCGCATTCGTGACCCCTTGTGGCATTCGGTTGAATTCATAGAAGCCTAAAGGACAGACGAATGCCGTTTTGTGTTTATCCGCCTCTTCCATCTCAATCTGATAGAAGCCTGATTTCAAGTCGAGAACTGAAAACCATTTGGAGCCAGTTAGAGCTGAGAAGGCTTCTTCCAAATTTGGCAGAGCGTACGCGTCCTTTATGGTCTGTGAATTCAATTTCCTAAAGTCAATGCAGAGACGTACATCATTGTTCTTCTTCTTTACCACTACTATCGGAGAGGCAAAAGGTGATTCCGATTCTCTAATGACACCTGCATCGAGGAGTTCTTTGAGATGCCTTCTCACTGCATCGAC